TGGCCCAGGGTGCGAAGCCTGGTGAGGGTGGTGAACTGCCTGGTCATAAGGTTGTTGGCCCCATCGCTCATACTCGCCACTCCACGCCTGGAGTGGGCCTGATTTCTCCACCTCCGCATCACGACATCTACTCCATTGAGGATCTGAAGCAGCTTATTTACGATCTCAAGTGCTCGAATCCCCGCGCTCGTGTTTCTGTCAAGTTGGTGTCTGAGGTTGGCGTTGGTATCGTCGCCTCGGGTGTCGCTAAGGCCAAGGCTGACCATATTCTCATCTCTGGCCACGATGGCGGTACTGGTGCCTCTCGTTGGACTGGTATCAAGTATGCTGGTCTTCCTTGGGAGCTGGGTCTTGCTGAGACCCATCAGACCCTTGTTCTGAATGATCTCCGTGGTCGTGTTGTTGTTCAGACCGACGGTCAAATCCGAACTGGACGTGATCTGGCGATGGCATGTCTTCTTGGAGCTGAAGAATATGGTTTCGCAACTACCCCCTTGATCGCTATGGGATGTATCATGATGCGAAAGGTATGTTCATACTTTATTTACCCTTTATTACTCCAGTATTTGCTAACTTCTCCAAGTGCCATCTCAACACTTGCCCGGTCGGTATCGCTACTCAGGATCCTGAGCTACGCAAGAAGTTCAACGGCACACCCGAAAACGTCATCAACTTTTTCTACTACGTCGCCAACGAGATGCGTGCTATCATGGCCAAGCTTGGTATTCGCACCGTCAATGAGATGGTTGGACGTGCCGAGCTGCTCAAGGTCCGCGATGACATTCGCAACGCCAAGCAGGAGCGCATTGACCTTTCTCTCATCCTCACTCCCGCCCACTCTCTTCGCCCGGGTGTGGCTACATACAATGTTCGCAAGCAGGACCACCGTCTGCACACTCGTCTCGACAACAAACTTATCGCCGAGTCCGAGCTTGCCTTGGAGAAGGGCCTCCCTTGCCGAATTGAGTGTGATGTTGTCAACACTGATCGTGCCATGGGTGCTACTCTGTCATACCAGATCAGCAAACACTATGGCGAGGCTGGTCTGCCCCAGGATACTATTCATGCCAATATCAAGGGATCTGCCGGTCAATCATTCGGTGCTTACCTTGCCCCCGGTGTAACTCTCGAGCTTGAGGGTGATGCCAACGATTACGTTGGTAAGGGTCTATCTGGTGGTCGTCTGATCGTCTACCCACCTCGCGGAGCTGCCTTCAAGGCTGAGGAGAACGTCATCGTCGGTAATACCTGTCTTTACGGTGCTACCCGTGGTACTGTTTACTTCCGTGGTGTCGCTGCCGAGCGCTTCGCCGTCCGTAACTCCGGAGCCACAGCTGTCGTTGAGGGTGTTGGTGACCATGGTTGCGAGTACATGACTGGCGGTCGTGTGCTGATTCTCGGATCTACTGGTCGTAACTTTGCTGCCGGTATGTCCGGCGGTATCGCTTACGTTCTGGACATGAAGCAAGATTTCCACTCCAAGGTCAACCTGGAGATGGTTGCTGTTTCTGGCATCGAGGATCCCAATGAGATTGCTTTTGTCCGTGGCCTGATTGAAGACCACCACCATTACACTGGATCCGAGCGAGCTGCGCGTATCCTTCTCGATTTCAACCGTGCCCTGCCTCGCTTTGTCAAGGTTCTGCCCGTTGACTACAAGCGTGTTATGGACGAGGAGGCTGCTAAGGCTGCTGCGGCGAAGAAGGCCGAATTCTCTCTTCCCCTACTTCCCAGCAAGCCTGCAGAGAAGCCCAAGCCTCATGCCGACGAGAAGAAGGCTGAAATGCTGGATATTGAGGACAGTATCAGCGATTCCAAGGCTGAGAAGAAGCGTTCTGCGCTGATTCTAGACAAGACTCGCGGTTTCATGAAGTACAGCCGCCGCTCGGAGAAGTATCGCAACCCGACTACTCGCACTCGCGATTGGGCTGAATTGTCCAACCGTCTCAGCGAGGATGAGCTCAAGTACCAATCAGCCCGTTGCATGGACTGCGGTGTTCCCTTCTGCCAGTCCGACACTGGTTGTCCCATCTCTAACATCATTCCCAAGTGGAACGAGCTAGTCTTCCAGAACCAATGGCAGGATGCTCTCAACCGTCTGTTAATGACCAACAACTTCCCCGAGTTCACTGGCCGTGTCTGTCCCGCTCCTTGCGAGGGTGCCTGCGTTTTAGGCATCAATGAAGACCCCGTCGGTATCAAGTCTATCGAGTGTGCTATCATTGACCGAGGCTTCGAGATGGGATGGATGGTCCCTCAACCTCCCAAGATTCGCACCGGCAAGACCATTGCCGTCATTGGATCCGGTCCCGCCGGCATGGCTGCTGCCGATCAACTCAATCGTGCCGGGCACTCTGTGACCGTCTATGAGCGTGCTGACCGCGTTGGCGGTCTTCTCATGTACGGTATCCCCAACATGAAGCTTGACAAGAAGGTTGTCCAACGCCGTGTCGACCTCATGGCAGCCGAGGGCATCAAATTCGTCACCAGTACTGCTGTCGGCCCCGACAGCGAGGTATCTCTCCAGTCCCTCCGCTCCTCCAACGACGCCGTGATCATCGCCACTGGTGCTACCGTCGCCCGTGACCTCAAGGTCACTGGACGCGAACTCGAGGGCGTTCACTTCGCCATGCAATTCCTGCACAAGAATACCAAGTCTCTTCTTGACTCCGAGCTCGCCGATGGCGAATACATCTCCGCCAAGGATAAGCATGTCGTTGTCATCGGTGGCGGTGACACCGGTAACGACTGCATCGGTACATCCGTCCGCCACGGCGCTAAATCCGTCACAAACTTCGAGCTCCTTCCCCAACCTCCCCCGGAGCGAGCCCGTGACAACCCCTGGCCCCAATGGCCACGTATCTACCGCATCGACTACGGCCACTCAGAGGTAAAGACACACATGGGCCGCGACCCGCGCGAGTACTGCGTGATGTCAACCGAGTTTGTCGACGACGGCAGCGGCCGGGTGAAGGGTATCAACACCGTTCGCGTGGAGTGGACCAAGAGTGCCACTGGAGGTTGGGACATGAAGACTGTCGAGGGCAGTGAGCAATTCTTCCCCGCGGATCTGGTCTTGCTTTCTATGGGATTCTTGGGTCCTGAAGACCGTTTGCTTGGTGAGGAGATTGAGCGCGATCCTCGCAAGAATGTTAAGACTCTCCCCCGGTCACTACTCTACGAATATCCCCGGTGTCTTTGCGGCTGGTGATTGTCGTCGTGGACAGTCGTTGATTGTCTGGGGTATCAATGAGGGTCGCCAGGCTGCGCGTGAAGTCGATGCTTTCCTTAGTGGGATTAGTTCTCAACTCCCTGTTACGGGTGGTATTGTTCGTCGGCCGGCAATTGATTCTGTTCCGAGGCTTGCTGAGACTCAGGTCGTTGCTTAATCCACTCGTGTTGAATGGATGCGTATGATGCGGCTGCTTATGATTTATGAAATATACATATTTCTCATTCTGACGTGGAAAAAGGAAAAGGTCCGAACAAAATGGTATCTTGACGGGGTTTATCTCGGATCGGAGGGCGGTTGATTTGGTTCTGTTTTCTGATTGTCATTAACTCACCGAGACTGAGACTGAGAGTCTTTTTTTCATGCGTCTACTGCGAATATTTCTTTTCTTGCAAGGTTTTACCCAGCAGCGATTCTCTATGGGGGGAGGTGTTTAGAGCGCTCTGCAGTGTGGCTTTTTTATTTTCATTTTGATTTTGATGTATATACTCCCTCAGGCTGTTCTGTTATACTTTTGTTTCTTGATCAATATATTTCCAAATCGAATTATTTCAATTCAAGTTCTTTGCTTGCTTCCTACTAGTACTGGTACTAACTACAAATCTCCATGGTGGATGTCCGAGACATGCATCTGCTCCGTGTAGGTGTTCTCTTGAACCGGCAAGTCACAACTTGAAATCTAACAGGAAGAACCATGTCTGTAAAATCCCTTTGTCCCTAGTGCGGCTATATCCTTCTTTTTGTTAATTTTACTGAAAGGAATTCAAGAAAAAGGGAACAATAGCTTTTCAGAGACCTGAGAATCTGCTCCAATTGAATTCTATTTAGGGAATGAAAACACCCGTTTTCAAGAATTCATAATAAAGAGATCCTTCAACCTGAGCAACGCATTATATACACAAAGGGTGAGAACTTTTACATTGCCCGTCAATATCAAGGCAGGGACATCGTACAAAGACAGCATACTACTATTAATCTACCAGGGCATCGACGAGTCAGCTGTATAAAAAGACTCGAAAGTCAGCGAGAATCTCCGTTCACAGTCAAGACAGTTCCAGATCTAGTACAAAGATATCGGGATATCCATATCCAGCCCTGATAGTCTAGTCTAGTCTAGTCTAATCTAGTCTAATCTAGTCTACAAAGAAGGCGATTTCTTGCACAGATACCAACCATCTCATCCGCACATACTCACACATCTCTGCTCTGCTCTACTAGCCGACTTGGTCCAGATTATACTCACCACTTCTTACTACCTTACCTCGCTTTGATATTTACACTAGGGTACCTACGCTCACAAACCAGCATAGCAGTCCCCCCTACGACTTAGTACTTCCTCCGACCACAACAATGCCGACAACCAATTCCAGCGCGCATGAATGGTACGTACCTAGCTTCGCCCGCGCAACAGCCTCCTCACGAGCCCGGCGCGAGTCAACCTCCCAATCGAATTCCAATTCCAATTCCAATTTCAATTCCAGGGCCACTGGCAGACAAGCCGATACTTCTAAGCTTTCATTCCGCACACCGTCTGTACCATTCCATCCCTCCACATCCCGTCCCCCCCTCAGCCCTGAGCGAAAACTACAGTCGTCGTTCGTCCTCTATCTCTATTTCCCGTACCCCTACACTTACACGCCCTTCTAGCCGTGCCTCTAATTACCCCCTCTCATCATCTGCTTCTATTTCTGCCCGTGCTCCGTCGGTGTCGATGTCGAACACTCACCAACCCTCTTACAGACCACCGAGATCAATCCGCAGTCCAACTATGACAAGGAAAAAGAAACCCCAGCCCCAACCCCAACCCCAGCCCCAGATTTATGAGGTTGAGCTGGCAAAGCGACTGAAAGTGGTTGAGAAGGAGCGCTTTCAAGAGGGACTTATGTTGCTGAATGAGGAGTGGCAGGAATTGGAAGCTTTGACGTTGATGGATGAGAGTGAGAAGAATGGGGATTGTATGGGTATGGATATGGATATGGATATGGGTATGGGTATGGGTAAGCCAATAGTTAAGAAGGCTTCCAAGCCAGGACCTGCTCCTGCTCTTAGCCCGGGTCCGGGTCCTATATTTAAGGTTTCTGCTGTACCAGCAATTTTGTCTAAGTTTGAGGTTATTTGTGACAGTCTCAGCTACAGCCACAAAAGCTCTGATTGTTCAGAGCAGAGTTTCCACACAGCGAGATCTGACTGTACTAATGAGAGCTTTCATACTGCGCCGGGAGGGTCTGATGGCGACGGCGACGGTGAGAAGGAGGCAGATGCAGAGGCAGAGAAGGCGTTTCTGAATTCGAGGATAATTTGCGAGCATTGGCAGGTGGAGCTTGATCGGGCTCAGGATGAAAGGGCTGATTCTACGATACGGGAGATTGCGAATATTGGGAGAGAGAGAGAATGATCTTGGGGCTTTTGTGGTAGCTAATGTAATTGTATATGAGTACTCTTATAATTTGGTGGGTCTTTGGGCTAGAGATAGACTGAATTAAGTGTCTTTCTATTTGAAGTTTGTAATAGGTTTTATCTATTGGGTTTCTACTTGTAGGGTACAGTAGGTACTAGTCAGCATGTACTAAGTGCATAGATAATGTAACATAGGGGCACCTGGGCTGGGCTTAGCTGTCAAACCTTGTTGGGTTGGCTTTGGGCTATGAAACATGGATGGGCAGTTATGAACCATGGATGGGCAGTGAGGCTCGACATGGAAGATTGAGCTCAGGTTTAGGCGGTGCAATTAAGCAATACTACCTAATAGGGCATTGATAAAAATTGGTTCAATGCAAGGAGATGTTTGGAAGGCGATGGAAGGAAGGAATTCATGGCATTCATGATGTAGTAGGGATGTAGTAAAAGCACTGAAGCTGCTGGAAGCAACGATTCTTTTTTTGATCTCAGAATGAAAGAAAAAATGAAAGAGATCACTCTGCGTCAGAAAGTGGCAAATCAGCGGGTACCTGGCTTCATCGCATCATCTCAAAGAAATGTCTCCATTAAAGACCGTATTTTATGGAGACCACGTGATCAGAGTGGAAATGAATGAATTCATCGTGAGGTCACCACTGTCATTGGGTGGGGAGCTATGGCTGTGACCATACCGTACTGTGATGGGGCTACCCATTGTATTGTTAGCAGTGCTGCCTGAGTTAGGCAGGGTGTATTGTATTGTATTGTGTTTGGTAGAAGGGGGCAACGGAGAACCATCCCGCGATTACATCACTACCTTTGCCCCACCAAAAAAAATACACAATCGAAGACAAAGAAGACAGTCCAATTGATAATGCCAGGATAGACATTGGTGTATGCTTGTAATTGGTATAAAAAAAAGAAATCAATGAATCCATGAATCCACTAGACTGCTCTAGAACCATTCAGTAGATTCCTGAAAGCAGGAGACCGTGTTGTTTGGGCCTCGAAGGTCGTGGAATCGGATGGATACCCATGGAAGCTGGTCCCGACTAGAAGCTTCTGAGCAATTCACCGCTCACCTATATAGCAGGAATTCGCTGCCCACACTCCCCTTCTCTTTTTTTTTTCTTCACTTATCCTGTTAACTTCCTCTTGTACACTACCTTCACGAATTTCCTTTTCCCCCATTCTCCCAAGTTAACGAATACCTCCTACACACTCCCTCTCACACACATTCACAATGGCTCCCGCTGTCGGTATCGATCTGGGTACCACCTACTCCTGTGTGGGTGTCTTCCGTGATGACCGCATTGAGATCATCGCCAACGACCAGGGTAACCGCACTACCCCCTCGTTCGTTGCTTTCACCGACACCGAGCGTCTCATCGGTGATGCCGCCAAGAACCAAGTCGCCATGAACCCCCACAACACCGTCTTCGATGCTAAGCGTCTGATCGGTCGTCGTTTTGCCGACGCTGAGGTCCAGTCTGATATGAAGCACTGGCCCTTCAAGATCATTGACAAGGCCACCAAGCCCGTCATTGAGATTGAGTTCAAGGGTGAGGCCAAGCAGTTCACCCCCGAGGAGGTTTCTGCTATGATCCTTGTCAAGATGCGCGAGACCGCTGAGGCTTACCTCGGTGGTACCGTCAACAACGCTGTTATCACTGTCCCCGCCTACTTCAATGACTCTCAGCGTCAGGCTACCAAGGACGCCGGTCTCATTGCCGGTCTCAACGTCCTCCGTATCATCAACGAGCCCACTGCTGCCGCCATTGCCTACGGTCTTGACAAGAAGACTGAGGGTGAGCGTAACGTCCTGATCTTCGATCTGGGTGGTGGTACCTTCGATGTCTCCCTGCTCACCATTGAGGAGGGTATCTTCGAGGTCAAGTCTACTGCTGGTGACACTCACCTGGGTGGTGAGGACTTCGACAACCGTCTGGTCAACCACTTCGTCAACGAGTTCAAGCGCAAGCACAAGAAGGACCTGACCTCCAACGCCCGTGCCCTCCGTCGTCTCCGCACCGCTTGCGAGCGTGCCAAGCGTACCCTCTCTTCCGCTGCTCAGACCTCCATCGAGATCGACTCTCTGTTCGAGGGTATTGACTTCTACACCTCCATCACCCGTGCCCGTTTCGAGGAGCTTTGCCAGGACCTCTTCCGTGGCACCATGGAGCCCGTTGAGCGTGTCCTCCGTGACGCCAAGATCGACAAGTCCTCCGTTCACGAGATCGTCCTCGTCGGTGGTTCTACCCGTATCCCCAAGATCCAGAAGCTCGTCTCCGACTTCTTCAACAAGGACGCCAACAAGTCCATCAACCCCGATGAGGCCGTCGCCTACGGTGCTGCCGTCCAGGCCGCTATTCTGTCCGGTGACACTTCTTCCAAGTCCACCAACGAGATCCTGCTGCTCGATGTTGCCCCTCTGTCCCTCGGTATCGAGACTGCCGGTGGTGTCATGACTCCTCTGATCAAGCGCAACACCACCATCCCCACCAAGAAGTCCGAGACCTTCTCCACCTACTCCGACAACCAGCCCGGTGTCCTGATCCAGGTCTTCGAGGGTGAGCGTGCTCGCACCAAGGACAACAACCTGCTCGGCAAGTTCGAGCTGACTGGCATCCCCCCCCGCCCCCCGTGGTGTCCCCCAGATTGAGGTCACCTTCGACCTTGACGCCAACGGAATCATGAACGTCTCTGCTTCCGAGAAGGGCACCGGCAAGTCCAACAAGATCACCATCACCAACGACAAGGGTCGCCTGTCCAAGGAGGAGATCGAGCGCATGCTTGCTGAGGCTGAGAAGTACAAGGCTGAGGATGAGGCCGAGGCTGGCCGTATCCAGGCCAAGAACGGTCTCGAGTCCTACGCTTACTCCCTCAAGAACACCATCACCGAGGGCAAGCTCCAGATGTCCGACGATGACAAGAAGAAGATCGAGGACAAGATCTCCGAGGTCATCTCTTGGTTGGACAACAACCAGACCGCCGAGAAGGACGAGTACGAGTCCCAGCAGAAGGAGCTCGAGGCCATTGCCAACCCCATCATGCAGGCCGCTTACGGTGCTGCCGGTGGTGCTCCCCCTCAGCAGCGCGCTGACGGCGAGACCGAGGAGAAGAAGGATGAGGAGGAGCTTGACTAAACGTCTCGCCTTTGCGAGTAGTTTTTTCTTCAAAGCCTTTTCTTCTCTTCAATTTTCTTTTTATGATGATGGCTCAGTCAGCCCTTCTTTTTTTCACGTTTTGTTTTACGAACTTATGGGATATCGAAGTTTTCCTTTTGCGATGATTGCATAGATCCGAGGTTATCTCTTGCTGGATACAAAAGTCCAAGCGAAATTCAAAATTTCTTAATTCATATCTTTCCACTAGTAGACTGTAATTTTTCGCTGTAGCCAAATCTCTAGATTGTAATCGTTGGAGTGCAGACTGACTCTTTCTTGCACCTCCGGAATCTGGACCGGTATCGGGCCCCATAAACCCGTGTCAACGTCGTATAACTAAACCTTGTACTTTTCCTAAGATCAGATTCGGATTTAAAGCCCCCGTAGACCCCGCATTTCGATTCGATCTTAGGTGACTCATTATATGCAGTGCCGCGGAAGGGAATCCTCCTTGGATCTTTCATTTAACTCCAAGCCCTTTGCCAGGAGGGGTTCAACTACAGACTGCCTAGTCATCCAAAGCAATGGCAATGACCAGCATCTTCACCTCAATACGATATCTCTACCTAAAAGTCCTCATCACATTTTCCCGCCTCCTAATCAACCTTCTCTCTTCATCCCCAAAACCAAACCCGGACTACATATTACAAATCCCATCTCGACAAAGCAACCGAACCATAAAAGTCCACGTCTACAACCCGCTCGCAGAAAATATCGGTGAAGCCCCTAGTCCCGGTCCAGCCCCCGTGCTCATAAATCTCTACGGCTCCGGCCTAACAATCCCACTCCACGGCCTCGACGACCCATTCTGCCGATTCGTCTCCAAGAACACGAATTACATCGTACTGGACGTTGAATACAGTCTTGCGCCAGAGTTTCCCTTCCCAAACGCTCTAAACGATGTCGAGGATGTTCTGAACTATGTCGAAAGTCATCCGGATCAGTATGATTCGGAGAAGATCTCTATTTCGGGATTCTCGTCTGGTGGGACTCTTGCGTTGGCGATTGCAGCATCAGCATCAGCATCAGCATCAACATCGACAACCCACATCCGCCGCGCCCCATTCAAATCCCTAATAGCATTCTACCCAGCAACAAATCTATCCCAAGACCCAGCCCTACGAAAAACACCCGTCGGCGGCAAAGAACGCTCACCATTCTGGACGAGGATTTTCAGAAAAGCGTACATCGGGCCGTACGATTCTAGAGATCCGAGGATTTCGCCTGCTTTTGTCACGGATGAGGATATGGCCCGGTTGCCGCAGTATATGCTCTTCGTTACGGGGGGGGTTGGATGCTTCTGCGGCTGAGGCGGAGGAGTTGGCGTTTAGGGTTAGGGGGGATGGGCAAGGGCAGGGCCAGCAGAATACTACTACTAGTGGTGAAAGCAAAGGGCGAAAGCCGAGGGAAGTTATCATTCGCCGAATGGAAGGGTGTGGACATGCTTTTGATAAGAAATTTACGGGAGATGTCTTTGTGAAGGCTAAGGATGAAGCTTATGGGGAGGTTGTTGATTTGTTGAAGAGATGTCTGAGGGAATAGATGCACTTGGCTATCTATAGTTATGCAATACCCTTGAAGAGCCTAGCATCGTGTGAGGCTGGGGCTGGGGCTGGGGCTGGGGCTTCAATAGGGTAATTTGTAAGCGTTTGAGGCGTTGGAATATGAATCAAGTGATTTGATGTCGCAATTGAGGTCCTGAGTATTGAGAATGCCTTTTTCCTATCGAAGTATCGAAAATAGCAGGCCTCACGAGTGCAAGTTACGAAATGATTCATGTTTCCGGTAAGGTTTTTTGAGTGATAGGTTTCACTTACGGTGCTACTCGATCAATGTTTTTTTTTTTGGACTTGTTCGCTCGAGTAAGTTCACATTAATTTGTTCGCTTTGGGCGGCCATGGTCCTATATGTACTAGTCACCTCATGAAGTTTCAGAAGGACAATTGAAAATTCGAAGGTTTGCACGATTTATATGCCTAGCTCGATTCCCGATTGGTACTGTATGCAAGTTCATGCTGTGATGGATTGATAGGTCTTGAACCACATTTTGCATGACATAGTACAAGAGAACAAGATAGCCAGTAGGTGCAGGCAATGTAGATTCCTGAAATGAAGCTACTACAGCCATTGAAGCAATGCATCAAAAAAAACCATCGACAAAAATAAAAAATAGAAGGGTAATAACCCAAAATAACCAAACATTCATTCCAAAACTCCCAACCCCATGAAATCATATAATGCCGCGAATCGAGACGCATTAGATGGCAGGGAGGGAGGGAGGGTATAAACAAATCTCCTCCCTCGTCGCCATGTGCATGCTTTTTTTTATACAAGAAGGTTTTGTCCAAGAACTATTCCTTCCCTTCCTTTCCAATCCTTTCAAAGGTCTTTGAAGTCCCCATTCCACCACCGTTGTAACCGCTTCTGACCCAGCTGCACGACAGCTCCGTATCCGATTTCCGAGGCTTTCTCGGGACTCTTTTCGATTTGGTCACGGCGGATGCGCGTCATGGCGGCTGTTACACCCATCGTTAGGGCGAAGATTGGATCTCCTATCCTGTTGGCGCAGCACTGTTAGAATTGAATCGGATTAAGGCAAGACGCGGGCATTGTGGTGGATGGGGTGGGTGAGGGGAGGGTAGGGTCCGGGATGGTGTTTGTGTGATGGTTCAAAGGCTCTGGGCGGTATCAGGGCAGTTGGGGACGTACCGAGAGAGGAGGTAGGCGGTCATGTTGAGCTTGATTTCCAAGGTTTGGGATTGATTCTGTGATTTCGAAGGTCAGTTGCGGCGCCGCGGATCGCGGATGCGGAGGATCACGTGATTGTATTTTTTTGTTGGAGTGCAACTTTTCAAAGGATGGGATGATATGAAAATTATATTCATTTTGTAACAGCCTAGTTATATATGAACTGTGAGCATGTTCAGTCAAAAAAGGAGTTGCAGTTGAACGCAGTACTAAACATGCAGAGGGGAGGAAGCAGAACAACAAGCAAGCACCTAAATAGTACTCCCTATGAGCGCGGTGCCTAAGGCGTTGCGGCAGGCGGCGAGCCGGCTGCAGCAGGTTTTACGAGAATGAGAGACCGGTGGTAAGTTCTGAAGATTTATATTTCTTGGCTGTAGACTAGACTCCCGTTGGAACAACAATAAACCATGTCTATAAGGGGAAAAATACACAAAAGGTCTCCTGGGAAGCCGGAGCCAGGAAAAAGCCCAAAAGACCCGAAATGAAGAGAGAAAGAAAAGTGGGGAGAGTGTTGTCGAATAGTAACGCCGCGGCTATAAAGAATCTTTCATGTACCGAACTCTTGCTTTGCTTTATACGACCTGACCGAAAGCAGGAATCAAAGTCTGAGCCAACCAGAAGCTGAATACCAGCTTGGGACCAGTCATCAGCAGCTTGGGGGTCAGGCCCTTGAAGAAGCTGGAGGCGCCCTCGTTCTTCATCATCTTGGAGATGATGCGCAGGCCGGACTCGGGGTTCTCGAAGTTGCGGTTCTGGATGCGGGTCTTGATCACGTCAAGAGGGGCGGACACGATCAGGGAGGCAGAAGCACCGGCAACGGAGGCAACGAAGTTCTGGCCCCAGGTGGCCTTGTTGTAGTCCTGCAGACCGTAGATGTACTCCTTGGCGAAAGCAGATCCACCGAAGAGCTATAAAGAGGAGAATCAAACTGTGAGCGGGAGCGCGCGATTTCACATGTCATGGCGGTGGGTCGTTCAACTTACAGCGAATGAACCGGGGGCGTTACGGGCAGCAGTCCAACCGGCACCACGGTACAGACCCATACCCTCATCGGAGATAATCTTGAACAGACCACGGCCGCGGAAGGCCTCGGGGTTTGTCTGGCGCTTGATCTTCAGGACGTCCAGGGGGAGCAGGACGATCTCTCCAATACCGATCAGACTAGGAATTGAAAGGTTAGCATTGTCGTGTCCTCCGCAGGAATAGTGCTTGTATATGCTACATACCTGCCTGCAGTCGCGTGCATGATAGCCTTGCCGTTACCCTTTCCGAAGGCATTGTCGAAAGCGGCACCGTGGTGCTGAGCAAGGTAGTCACGGGCGAAGGGCTGACCACCGTACTTGTAGATACGCTGGAGAACCTGTATAGCAAGAAAAAAAACACACATCAGCGATTTGCCCTGAGAGTTTGACCCGAGCGTATCTGTATGTTGTCGAGGACTGAACGAACCTTGTAGCCGGCAGCGTAGCCCAGACCGGGGAACATGGAGGTGAACTTGCGGCCAAGCGGGGCATCGGCATACTCCCTGAAGACAACCTTCTTGAAGTCGGCAGATCCAACGATCTAGAATAATTGCGGTCAGCAACAATTGCGGCGCATGATGTTTTTCGTACTCCGGTCCGAACTCACCTTGGTCTGGTTGCTCATCAGCCGCTTAGCGGTGGTGTCGACCTAAAAGCAAGACATTAGAAATGAAGAGATGGCGTTGGCGTTCAATTGGGATTCTCGTACGGGGTGGAAGACCAGCAGCTCGGCGATACCAGCAGAGCCTAAGTAACAAGCAGGTTAGCAATGGCCGGGGAAGTTCTTCGGACGAGAAGCATCATACCGGAACCGAGGAGACGAGCAGTGGCGGATTCCTTCTTGACATCCTTAGAGGCGGCGCCGGCGCCGGCATGGGCAATGGGAGACATGTTGATGTTGAGAGAGGTGAGTAATGAACCGAAATGCAGCATCGTCCGCGTCCTGGATTTTTTGAGAGCGCGAGTGGGTCGAACTAGTCCCGTTTGGGTGCCGGAGTCGGAGGGCCGTAGACCAGGTACAACTAAAGTATACAGTATACGGTATACCACCATTTAGTATTTAACGAGGAGTTGTGGAGTTATGAAGTAACAAAAATAAGAATTGATCTCCATTTACAATGATAATGGCCTGCTAATACTTGCGCGATGCTGGCCCGGGATTGGCCACTTCCAGCACCGTGCCTGCATCTCATTTACTACTAGTACTACCCGCTTGAAGCGATCGTACGATCTTCTCTCGGGTGGAGTCTTCACAAATTCTCTAGTAAGAGAGAAGCCAAATTTATTCAGTCAGCCACTAGAGAGCTGGTTAAAGTAGCTCCGAACGCTACAAATCCAAAATTTAAAAAGCCCACGCACGCATAAGAAGCATAGTCGCCCGAAAAGTTTCAGAGATCAGATCTCATTTCATTTCTTAGAGCAAAGGCATATGGCCTCCTCACCTAGCAAACAGAAGAGAGAGAAAAATTCAAGATGTGTGCACAACTCCGATTAAACGCCGCATGACCGTGAGAACGAGACCGTTTCGAAAGGTTGCATGAGTCTCATCTACCATGATCACTTCAGCCGGCGGGCATCGGACCACCCGTCAGAAATACCCTAAGCAGGGGCTATCGGTGGTAGTGTCATGATGTAAATGAGAACAAGTTAGAAAAGATCAACCTTTATAGGTCGCCGAAAGTGTTCTCTCCGGAGTACCTGTGTTTTCCATCGAGTTAGTATTTGTTTTTTTCGTGTGTGACCAGCGAGGTTGAAAATTTTCAAATATGGAATATCGAGGGGAACATAGAACATACGTGATGTACAGAAAACCATCTTCGTCCTTGTGCTCTTCGTAGATGCTGCTCATGAGCGCGGCGGTGGGTGGCAGAACCTCGTCGACGAAGATGAAGATCGCCTTCTCGGGGGAGAGCTTGATGCGCTTGCGAATCACGTAGACGAACTGACCGACGGTGAGATCTGCGGGAACGAGGTACTTCTTCTTGTCGATGGTGGCGATGTCTGACTTCTCGACCTTCTCGCAGATGACCTGTATCGCGATCCGTTAGCTACCGAACAAGCGGTGAGGGTGAGAGAAGAGGGAGTGGGATGGATCTCGCAAAGGCCAGGGCATCCGGTTTCAGATGAGGTCGTGAGAGGGTTTTTGAGTCAAAACTTACCGGGATGCGGTCGGCGTACTTCTGGCGAATTCGCTCGGCCTCGGCCTTGCGCTTCTCGAAGGGGTGCTCGTCCTTAAACTTGGATCGCATGGCTGATAAGGCGATAGTAAAAGCGGGTCTGGTGGGGATGAAGCTTGGGAAAGCCGGAGATGGGTAAGAGTTGAGAATGGAGGTGTATGGTAAGTCGCAGCGGTGGATGGATGGAGTAGAGGTTGGATAGATGCAGTTGGAAGAAGAGAGGGGGGCCTACCTGCTATCGATGACAAAAGGGACAACCCCCGCTGACGTTACCGTATTACCATCAAATGAGAGGGGGAGGCGGTGAGTCAGGCGCTGCTATCACTTGACTTTATCAGATATCACTAGACTTGTAGCTATAACTTATTTCTAGTCAGCTGTACTGTAGTAAGGTATGTATTTACCCTGAGTAATACCCGTTTAGTTTATTCCTGAGTCTACCAGTCTACCCATTTACTACCATCACAGCGTGCCGGTGAATCCTAGGCTCGGGATGCCCCACAATACACCGGCGGAGTATGTCGGAGCCTCATAAACCATAAGCATATGATGAGTATCCTATTTGTACAGTAATTTACTTTCACTGTACTGTTTAACGCTACAAGGCAGAAGCTCAAGAAAGGAACCATGACCCAGGTCTCTAGAGCAGAGTCACAGACTCAGCCACCACACCCAGTCTCCACTATCTGATATTCCCAGCAGCAACAGAACCACCCCACTGATACTACTAATGTATCAAAATAATAACCAGAATTCCGTACAGGCATGTACCATGAACCATCTTCTTTGAATATTCGAATGGGCATTTGTACTTCGCAAGGTACCCAGTCATAGCCTCATAGGCTTGCAATAGTTCCGGAAATGCTTACCTCATCCAGACAAACAAGACAAACTCCACTCGAAGGCGCGCGGGTCCGAATCCACTTTGGAACTCTGGAGATGTCCGGACATTGCCTGATGTCGTACGAGATTCCGAGAATTTCATGATCTTCACGAGGTAGGGTACCCTTAAGAGTCCGGCTTGACCTCAATTGCATTCACGCCGACACTTGAATCAATTCCTCCTTGCAATCTCCTCCCCTCAACCCGGTAATCGGCCGCGCGAATACCCTCGGTCCCCGTTGCGAAAATGGCCTCACGCTCTTTCATGCCTCTCCGGAGGTCCCTGGCTCAGCTGTCTGCGCGAAACACTCATATTACCGGCCGCCATGCAGGCAATTCTCTACGGAGGTATGCCACCGAGCAGGGGCAAGGCTCTCGTCCGAAGCAACAGTTCACCGTTTGGCGACCTTATTTGCGACTTGCCATCGGTGTTCCCTTCATCGGCGCACTCATCTACTCCATGGTAGGCAGGAACTCTTTCACGCGTCGCAATCCAGCTATTAACCCATTCACAGGCAACCGGCGAAATTACCGAACTCGATTCGCCTTCGATTGTCGAGCTAGACGAAGCCATCAAGAAATCATCCCCCATTAATGAGTCCTCGCCCATGCGCCTGCGAATGGAAAAGCTCATCAAGGAGAACCAGAAGAAGATTATTGAGGAGCTAGGCAGGATAGATGGCAAGGAGTTCAAGACGGATACCTGGTCGCGTCCCAATGGTGGCGGTGGCATTTCCTGCGTGCTGCAAGATGGCAATGTCTTCGAGAAAGCCGGTGTTAATGTCTCCGTGGTATACGGCGAGCTTCCACGTCCAGCTATTGAGAAGATGCGCGCCGACCACAAGTCCTTCGTTGGTTCTGACGTAGACTCGCTGACTTTCTTTGCCGCCGGTCTCTCGCTGGTTCTCCACCCCCACAATCCCATGGCGCCGACGGTGCACTTGAACTACCGATACTTCGAGACTTCCGACCCGAAGAATCCCATCAACGGCGATAAGAACTGGTGGTTCGGCGGTGGCACCGACCTGACCCCTACCTATCTTTTCCCCGAAGATGCCCAGCATTTCCACAGGACCATCAAGGACACCTGTGATCGACACGACGCAACTTATTACCCCAAGTTCAAGGCTTGGTGTGACAAGTACTTCTACATCCCTCATCGCGGCGAGTGCCGAGGTGTCGGCGGCATTTTCTTCGACGATCTTGACGCCAGTTTCCTCCAAGCTTCCAGCAGTTCCTCCTCCAACCCGCAAGAAACGCTCTTCTCTTTCGTCTCGGACGGACTAACCTCGTTCCTGCCATCCTACGTACCCATCATTGAGAGGAGAATGGATATGTCCTATACCCCGGAGCAGAAGCAGTGGCAACAACTCCGCCGGGGTCGCTACGTGGAATTCAACCTCGTCTACGATCGCGGTACTAGCTTTGGCTTGCGCACGCCGAACGCTCGTGTCGAGAGTATCCTCATGAGTCTTCCTCGAACCGCAAGCTGGGCCTACATGGACCCCGTCTCCGGCACCAGGACCGAGAACATGTTAACCGATGAGGACGAGCTTGCAGAGGATAAGACTAGCGAAAAGGAGCTAATGGATGTGTTGAAGCACCCTCGGCAATGGGCTTAATCTATTTGGCCGGTGCCATTTACTGCTGGGGATGCAATCTTTTTCACACATCCGGTTTCTGTACTAAAACATTTAAATACATTGTATCATCTTGTACCTTATTAGAAGGACCTTCTTCTTGTTTTTGTCTATGTACATTACTTATCTCACAAATATCCTGACTTGCAATCAAATGGCAGGTCCATACTCTTCATCTTTCGGTTCCTACTTTCTTAACAGCCACCCTCAAGCAATTCAATTGAACGAGCTCGAATACGAAGTATCTACCGCTGCCGACGAATCCATCCACATATCCATGTCGCCGCCAGATATCTCGGGGACATTGATCTGAACAATAATCAAATGAAACTCATACGATGAAATCCCAATATTGCGAGAAAGTCAAGATTGGCTGTAGCTGATTGATCGGCCGGGACTGACTGATTATCCTGCTGTGCTGCTGCTGCTGCTGCTGCTGCTGATGATGATGATGAAGGCTGAAGGGCAGCAGCCCCGGTACTAGTATCTGCTGTAGAAACTCTCCCTATTTATTGATACTGTGACATATTGAAAGTTCCGGGGCCCGCGCTGGCATCAGGGAATGCGATGCAGCGAGCATTGTCGGTATCAACCCCGATTCCCGAGCCAATGAGTGACGTCGACCCACCTGAGTATTAGCAATCAAAGCAACCCTGGACAAGACCTTGCTAAATTTGATATAAAATGCTAAATCCCCAACGAATCTGGATAAATAAATTTACAACTAGAGGATATCAGAGAGTATCAAGCAGGAATACAATAAAATGCCCAACTCAGATGTGATTCGACGCCGTGCCTTTCGCCGAACAGACGACTACACACCGGGCACGCCGAAAGTGAAACTTGTGGAGGAAGTCCTACCTCCCCTTGGACCTACATCTGTGCTAATCAAAGTCCATGCCGTCGCTCTTAACTATCGTGATGCGAATATTGCGAATGGGGGCAATCCGTGGCCAGTCATACCAAATGGGATACTGTGCAACGATGCAGCGGGGGAAGTCATCGCCATCGGTGACAAAGTCAAAACACTAGCAGTTGGTGATAGGGCTGGACCTATTATCGATACTGAGAATATCTCAGGCCGGGAGGTCAGCCGTTCATGGTTAGCGGCGGATGAAGATGGTGTTATGGCAGATCATATCGTTTTCGACGAGAATGTTCTCTGTAAACTCCCAACATATCTTGATTGGATTGAGGCTGCTACTATTCCCTGTGCGGGAGTCACTGCTTGGTCAGCCTTGAAGGGAATGAGTATTGGGCAAACTGTTTTGATTCAAGGTAAGCTCACACCCGAGGGAGATAGCACCAAAGAAATAAAGAGAAAAAAGCTAACTTGGGGGTAGGCACTGGAGGTGTAAGCGTTTTCGCACTTAAACTTGCGAAGGCCGCCGGTCTTCGAATTATTTTAACATCTTCGAGCGACGCGAAACTCAAACAAATGTCAGACAAATACCCAGGTATTCTGACTATCAACTATTCCACGAATCCGGAGTGGGATCAAGAAGCCATGAAGCTTACAGGCGGCGAGGGGGTGGACATTGTTGTAGAGAGATGGTGGGACGGGGTCGTTGGTCAAAAGTCTCAAATGCACTCGACGTGGTGGCGTGGTCAGTCAAGTCGGATATCTGTCGAAGCAGGATCCTGCCGATCTGCGAGAGCTGGTTCCAACTATCATTGATCGCAGGATTAACCTGAGAGGTATCAACGCCGGCTCAAAGCACGATATGGAAGATTTTTGTGCCGCTCTTTCAGCAGCCCAAACTGGTCTTCATGATTTGATTGACAAGGTCTTCCCATTTGAGCAGGCTGATGATGCTGTTGAGTATGTTTGGCAGGGTAAACAGATTGGCAAGATTGTTCTCCGTCTCTAGTTGGGATTTACCGCTTCTTTATTCAATGCGAAACCAATTGGTCAATCAAACTAAACGCATTTATTGTACTGGCGGCACCAACCATGCTAATTTAGCCTGGCAAATCAGGCTTATTGGAGCACTTGATTAGTCCCTCGCCCAGAAGCTGGAAGGTATTCAATGGACCTATGAAGTCTGTTATTCCCGATGAGAATATTGTTGATGGTAGAAAATATGCTAGTAAGCTGATCTCTATATTGGTGCGGCATGAAATTAAGTGTCACACAGCATTTGGTCCATCGCGAAGACAGATATAAAACAAATAAGAAGCCCCCGGGGGAATATGAACAGAGAACAAATGACATGCATTCTATATGCCCAAAAGAATAAAATTCAAAGGTATATGAGGGGATCTAGCAGGGATATAATCGAAAATACTATAAAAGGAACGACGAGCAATGAGTGACTCAACTCAAGTGGTCTGCCTGCAGTACTTGACTCAAGGGTTACTGGCCAGCAACCACACTTCTTTGCTTAGCCAGCCAACCGCGGAGATCGGCCGTATTAGCTCCGTGCCGGAAACGAGAGACGGTCATATTGTTATTTTGCCATCGGCTCTGGAGGTGATACCATGCCGAGCTCACGAGGCTCAGTTCACGGGCCTGGTCGTCGATTACTCTCTGGAGTTCAATCTGGAAGAATGATTAGCACCCTGGGCTGGGGTTTCTTGACAGATAACGGGCAATTGGAAGCTTACTTCGCGCTCTTTAGGGATGCCGTCGTCAAAGTTTTCTTCGTATTTCTTCATCCGCTCGCGTAGAGACTTGATGAGTTCATTTTGTTGTTGGATATACTGTTTTGAGATTTCCAGGTTAGTAAATGGTTCAGGTTCATGAGTACTAGTTCGTTGGGGGAGCTTACCTCTGCGCGTTGAGCCAGTCGCTCAACATTCTTCTCTAATACGCTGGCACATTGCTTCAAAAGCTCGTAGCTTGACTTCTGAGGCGTATCGCCGCCCTCGCTATTGTGAGTTTCAAACTCTCCCAGGAGCATCTGCATTTCAGTCATGACTTCCTGGTCCTCAGCGCTGATCTCATTCTGCTTGTCTTCAAGCATCTTGCGCAAATCCTCTCGCTCAGCGCACACTTCGCGCACCAAGGTCTGACTGGCATCAACCTCGGCTTCCAAGTGGTGCACATTCTGAGAAAGAGAACCCCACTCGCCGCGAAGCTTGGTCAGCTCGGTCGAGTTGTGCTCTTCCAGTTCACGGATCATATCGCTCTTTTCGTAGTCAAGAAGGCCAACTGGAATTTCATTAGTTTTTCTTTTTTTACTTTCACGGTCATTTGTAGCATATTGACTTACTATTGGTTTGCGCGTCAGACAGTTCCTTCTTGGTGGTATCCAGAGAGTCCTGAATCTCTGCAATCCTCTTCAGATTGCTGGTATAAGTCTCATATAACTTCCAATAGTCATCGCTGCAATTGGAATTAGCAAAAAGAATAAAGATATCATTCCCACCAGACATACCTCTGTGTAGTGTTGGTACGAGCAAGTTGCACGGACGCTTTAAAGCTTTCAGAGAATCCTTCAGATTGTGCCCCGAACTGGTCATTATTAGCATGTCCGGAATCATGGAACATGTCTTGCATAGAGAACCTACAGTAGTCGATGGTGGCTTCGAAGCTTCCAAATCCCGTTTCAACTCATCATTCTCGGATTTGCTGAAAAATATTAGCATACTTTCGAGCGTCATGTGAAGAATATGAACATACAGTTGGGACTCAATAGCCTCAAAATCTTTGTGGAGTGTTCCCTGCATCTTCGGTGTGTCGGAACCCGGCGACGAGGTGCCAGGCAATCCCTCCAGCTCGCCGAGACGCTCACGAAGTTCACTGATCAACGCATCGTCTCTTTCATGCTGCTCATCCGCACTTTCTAAACGCTCGGTGAGGGCGTGGTTGTTGAATTCGAGTTGTTTCTTGAGGTTTTGAATCTCATTGCATTCCTGCTCGAGCTGCGGTAGCAACTTGCGATATTCTTCCAACTCCACATCACGCTCCGATGTCCACCTTTGCTGCGAGTCCGACTCTTTCAGTTGTTGCTGGATATCTTTGATCTGGTTTTTTAGAGTGGAGTTCTCCTTTTCAAAGTCCTGGCTGGCCTGTAGTTTTTGTCGGTATTTCTCCGCGGCATTTGCTTTGCGGGCTAGCTGGTCTCGATCGGTCCGGAGCTCATCATAATCATCCTGTAGCTTTTGATACCGTTGGTTCTTGACCTTTAATGACTCCACCGTCATAAGAAGGCTATCGATTTCGTCTTGCGCCGCAGAAAGCTTAGCCTCCTGAGAGGCAATCAAATCATCCTGCTGGCGTGTCTTGCTTTCCAATGCCTTGGCGTTGAATCCGAGATCCCCCTTTCCGGATTTCAATGTCACCAGTCGGTCTTCGGTAGATGCCAACCGGTTCTGAAGGGTATCATTGTTCTCTTGCAAACGCGCCAAGCGGTTATGCATATCCCCGAGGTCCTTCCGCAACTCCTTTTTATCTTGTGTGAGGCGATCATTCTCCGCCAAGACCTTCCCAACGCGCTCCTCAAATTTGAGCTCCAGTTCTCCCGTGTGGTCGGCTTTGGCCAATTCTTCCTTCAACTCATCGGCCCCATCCAGAGGTTCATGCTCGCCATCTTGTGCCTCCTGAATAATCTCCTTGAGACCTTCCTGTGTTGGGGTACTCAGTTCCTGCAGCGTCTGCACGTAGGTACCGGCATTGGGAGAGTAAATGGCGGCAATCAAGAGGATTTTCAGAAGTTTGTTCGTTTCCTTTGATGAGGCTTTCTCGGCAATGGCTTCGAGGTCGGGCGACGGGTCGAGGCCAGGGGGTATGGTGTCGTTGTTCTGGTGCCGAATGTAGTTGGATAGGAGTTTGTAGATGTGCTTGAGGTTCTGCCACTTGGCCACCCAGTGGTCGCCAGGTTCACGCTCGGGGATCTCGTCAAGGAAGTACTGCGGGTCAATGTCTTGGAGGATCTCCCAAAGGATCACCCCGTCTGTCAAGTCCTCGGTCTCGCGGAGTGTTTTCCCCAGGAAAAGCTGTTGATCCATTCCAATAAGGCCTGGGTCACGGCGTGTTCAGACGCCATGACGAATGATTGGATATGCGTAATCTAAAAGGAATGGATGCGGGTGCAACATTCCTAGCAATGCGTAGGGGTTGAAGAGGTGGCCTTGGGAAAGTTGCGGGATCCACGCGCGGCGCGTTCGGGGGGCGAGAAGGGCGAGAAGGGCGAGACTAGCGGGGGATGATCGTCTCCCCGAGTTTCCTCCACCGAGTCATGCCGAACTAGTAGTACTTGATTCAAAGTATTCGATTGTAGAGTACTCATTGGGGAAGTTTGGTAAATTTTAAAATTAAAACTTGAGACTTTGAGAAAGAAAAAATTCATAGATTGTACATGTACAGTACACACTAAATGTTCCCAGTCCAGTGGATTCCAAGCAATGTTTAGCCTGACAATAACTGGACCCAGAACCGATAACCATATCCCCCGATTACGCCAAAGCACAAAAAAAAAAGAGAATCCGATTGTGTTGAAAAATCTCCGCGCGAAATAACCCTCCTTCGATTGAATTAGATTGTCATGGATCATGAATTGCCGTTCTCCGCCGGCCTTCATTCGTCACACGTTTCCCAGAACCAGCTGTGGTAAGATACTTGCGGAAGTCTCCATGCAAAGTATATTATGGAACGATGGTTTCCTCTGGCTGCTTATTTTCCATTCGCAGAGACGATTTGGTCTTCTTCGATCGTCGGATTATACTCGGACGACTGTGCTGATATAGTCTCCAGACAGGTCACCGGGGCCTCGGCAGCAAATCCACTAGGTTCATGGTTAGAATGATATGATATGGGATAGACGGATGATAATATGGGATAAGGATCGTACTTGATTAGATCTGTTTCGATAAAAAATAGGGTTAGTCTTGGGCATAGTCCTTGCATAGTCCTTGACCAGTGTGGGGCATATGTAGGCTGGGACTTACGGTACTCATGAGTAATGACGCCCCCCCTGGAAATTATAGATTAGTTTTTGGAGAGACCAAGGATTAGAGGATATGTGCGGCGTACAGAATCCACGATTGAGGACTTCGCCTCGTCAATAACGTTGGAAGGCGTGCCCTTGGGGAAAGTAATGATGACGGACTTGAACGACTTGGCCAGGGCCAGCGAGAGGAGTCCCAGAAGTACAAAGAGCAGCTTCATATTGTATCAGTATTTCAGTTAGGGATAGAGCGAGTGCAGCAAGTTGATTCAAAGTAAAGGCCAGATGAGGTGAAGTGAGTGATTGAAGTAAGGCAAAGTAATACAGTTGGGCTGCGTCATGCGGTCCTCTGGGCCACGTGACTTGATCATCCTCCATTTCGTCTTTCACTTCCGATTTCATCTCCATCTTCATTCAACCCTCGGCACGGCCACCCTCACCTCATTTACCCCCCTTTTCCCCCTTTCCCCTTTCCCCTTGTTCAAGCGTTGCATGTCTACCCCCTCGGTCCTTTACATTTAGGATTATATCGAACACGATCTCCCAATCTTTCCTCCTACCCGGCATACAGCTCTCCACCCCTCGGCGGATCATTTGGAGGAAGGCAGTTGGACAGGTTCAGGATTTGAGTTCGGAGGGGCAAGCGTGTTATTGTTTTCTTCTTTTCTCAAGTCTCACGAACATAGTTAGCAACCATTTACCAAGTTTCGACTTTTCCCTCCATCTCGTGTTGGTTTCCCGTGCTTTTGCCTCGGAAAGACAAGCACTAAGAAGAACGAGCATTTGGTGATAGTCCCAGTCCATTGCACAACGAAAGAAGAACAAAGAAAAAACAAAGAGCAAAAAAAGAGCAAAAAAAGAGAGCGAAAAGAACAAGAACAAGAACACTGAGGGAACAGTTCGAGGCCCTGAGAATATCGCCGTGTAATCGGCCACATAGAAGACGTCTCGGCTGTGGTGAATATCTCCACTTGCGCAACTGATCTTACTTTTCCTTTTCTGCAGCACCATCCATTCACTCGATTCATATTTCCTTTTCGTCCTCCACCATTTTCCACCATGTCCGGCCTACCATCAGATGATCTCGTCGAAGATTACAAGATCTCCTTAGAGGATCTCACCACCAATGACCGATTCCAGATCAACAACCTCACCGTGATAGCTAGAGAGAACACCGAACACGCCATGGCCATCTCTAGGGTGTTGGAGAATCATATCGGACAGGTAGGTCTCTCCCTCATATCCATATCCCATTTGGCAACAGGTCATGTTCCTGACGGCCATTGTAGACGCCTCCAATGCAGAAATTGCCGGCTCTCTATGTAGTCGACTCCATCGTCAAGAACGTTGGAACCCCCCTACACTCTGTTCCTAGGACAACACATGTATCAAACCTTTATGAATGCGTACGCCACGGTCGACCAAGCTACTCGTCGCAAGCTCGACGAAATGCTCAAAACGTGGAAGGAGCCTGTGCCGGGCTCACTCGACACTCGTCCCGTCTTTTCCTCCGACATCACTCGCACCATTGAGAATGCTCTGATTCGAGCACGCACCGCTGCTATTGAACGAGAGCGACCCCAGGCCCAGGTCAATCGCGGTCGTGGGACACCTACAGGCCGGCCCAACAACAACACGCCACCGCAAGGCATGCCTCGTCCGCCACCTCAACACGCCAACAATGGGCGTCCCATGCATACATCGGTAAGAGATATCGCCAAATTCTGACTACGGCTCATGCTTATCAAAATGTCATCTCGCAGACACCTCCTCAAGGACATCACCCCGTGGAATCTCTGAATCGAGATCTTGAGGCCTTGATCGCTGCTGCGAGAACCAACTTCGCCAACAGCCCCTTTGACCCTGCTTCTCAGGCGCGTTTGAAAGCGCTGCTTGATCTCCAGAGTATTCTGCAAAACCAGCAGCTCACTACAGATCAGATAAAGCTCGTCCGAGACCAGGTCTCCGCTATGGCAACGTCGAACCCAGTGCCCAACGTGCCTGTGGCAGCACCTCCAATTCCAGTTCCAGCACCCGTATCAACACCGCCAGCACAGCCCTCGTCGCAGTCACTTCAAAGTCTTCTCAATTCGTCTACCCTCGCCGATCTCATCAAAGCAACAGCAACTCGACAACAACCCACTTCACCTCCCCAGATCCCCAATGCTTTCCCCCAGATGCTCCAGATGCCTCCAGTCAGCAGTACACCGCAACCTGCTGAAAACCCGCTGATTGCCCAACTTCGTGCGCGTGGCCTGCTTCCTTCTCATTCGGCGCCGCCTGTCATGTCCTCAAGCAGCCCGCCGCCCATGGGAGGAGGGTCTATGCCATTCTTTATGCCTGGTCAACCACACTCTACACCGCCAGCCCCGACACCACCCCAAGCAGGCGCTTCATCCGTAGTTCCGATGAAAACTGCTTTCATGAAATTGTAAGCTAATCCCAAATCACCCATACCTTACGAAGCCATTCTCATACTGAACAAATTAGTCCGCGTCTCAACCTTGTGGTCTCTCTGTACGACGCAAAGTCAAACCGATGCGGCACCTGTGGGCGTCGCTTCCCTACAACAGCTGAAGGCAAAGAAAAGAAAGCAAGGCATTTGGACTGGCACTTCAAGACTAACCAGCGTATGGTTGATGCTTCCAAGCGAGCCCAGAACCGTAGCTGGTATGTCGACGAAAGGGTACGTAATCACACAATCCACTGACCCTTCTTTTGTTTGTGGGATATCATACTTACTAGGCACAACAGGACTGGGTTAAATCCCGCGAGGCTAGCGATGATTCAGGCCCGGCTGACACGGAGGCCACAACCGACGGAGAAGTTGGAGCAGATGGCAAACCCTCAAAACAAGGACCGCCCAAGGCATGGATTAGGGCACCGAATGATGCCAAACTTCGCAACACCCCTTGTCCCATCTGCCAGGAAATGTTTGAATCGACTTGGTCGGAAGATGTCCAGGACTGGATTTGGCAGGACGCCATCAAGGTGGCTAGCAGGGTCTATCACGCCAGCTGTTATGCCGAAGTGACGGCGAATGAGGCGCCGCGCAGCTCGACACCGCAAGGACGAAGCGGCACACCGGACTCCATCCTGGGCAAGCGGAAGGCGGAGGGAAATGACTCTCCGGGACTCAATGTGCGGATTAAGATGGAGCCTGCATGAGATAATTTGTATAATAAAAACAATTCGTGTCCATTCAGAATTTAATCGTGTAGTATCATGACGTTGCTTTGCCCCGCTCGGCACATCTCCGCGCTTTCTCCTCCCCACGTACCCTGCAACCCTTAAATATCTCCGGAATTCATACCCCGTACGACTTGAACACTTTCTTCTCCTTACAGATCAACATTGAATCATTCAATCAACACACGATGGCACCACACACCGTCCGATGGGGTATCCTGGGTACGTCCATCTCATCCCAATCTTCGCAGGCATACAACAAACAGCTAATGACTCTTATCTGAACAGCTACCGGCTGGATCGCGAGCAGTACATATTTCCCTCCACACAACAATCATTAAACCAAGCCCCCATCCTGTCCAATCTAACAAACACTTCGCAGCATTTGTCCGCGACCTCCTCCTCGACCCCGCAGCCCGCGACGCCGCTGATGTATCCCACAAAGTCCTCGCAGTGGCATCATCCTCATCAAAAGACAAAGCCTCAAAGTTCATCTCAGACCTCAACATCCCTTCCCCATGCAACGCATACTCCTCCTACGAGGAATTGGTCTCCGACCCCAATATCGACGTCGTCTATGTCGCAACCCCACACTCACACCATTATCAAAACGTAATGCTAGCCCTCAACGCCGGCAAAAACGTCCTATGCGAGAAAGCATTTACCGTCAACGCGGCCCAGACGAAGATCCTGATCGAAACTGCGCAAAAGAAGAATCTCTTCCTCATGGAGGCTGTCTGGACTCGCTACTTCCCGCTCAGCGTGCAGATTCGGGAGAGCATTAAGGCTGGTGAGATTGGTGAGGTGCTTCGCACTGTCGCTGATACTAGTTTCAGTGATGATGTTGAGGTGAGATGGGGCACGGAACATCGTATGGTTAATCCTGATTTGGCCGGCGGTGCTCTGTTGGATTGTAAGTGCAATATATCCCCTTCTACCACCCTACCCTACCGGCTACAAGCTATAGAATCTTTTGTCTCTATATTTCAAGTTATATTGGGCTAACTTGGGCCTTCTAGTGGGCATCTACTCCCTAACTTGGGTCTTCCAAACCCTCTACCACACCCTCCCCAAAGAAAAACGCAAACCACCAACCGTTCTCTCGCAAATCACACCATACCACCTAACGGGCGCCGACGAAGCAACAACAATCCTACTAAACTTCCCAACCAGCACGCCCTCCAACGGCGCCCACCCGCGCCAATCGCACGGCGTCGCAATGACCAATCTCCGCGTCGCGGGTGATCCAGATGAGCAGGGCACCTCTGGTGCGAATATTCGTATTCAGGGTACTCTGGGCGAGATTCAGGTTTTTGGAAACCCCTTCCGACCCGTGCGGTACCGTGTTATTCCCAAGAAGGGCGCTGGGAAGGGTGAAGTTCGCGATGTTGAGTGCGAGTTCCCGGCTGGTGGGCATGGGATGTATTGGGAGGCTGATGAGGTTGCTCGTTGTTTGAGAGATGGGAAGCTTGAGAGTGAGGGGATGTCTTGGGATGAGAGTATTGCTATTATGGAGGTTATGGATGAAGTTAGGAGGCAGGGTGGTTTGACTTATCCGGAGAAGATTGAGTCGACTGAGTATCCACTGCAGTTGTGATTGAACTAGCTAGCTTGTATCGATTAAGCTACTAAGTGCATGAGACCCATACCGAGTACAAAACGAAATGAAAATTGAAATAAACCATTATTTATTGACCATATTCGGCTCCTACTACTCTACGCGTCAAAATCCCACACCTACAAAGCATGTAACAACATCAAGCTGTTTTCGCTAACAGTACAGTAGTTAGTACCAAGAAAAGTACACATACTATACATGGCCCCGAAGGACTATTATTCAGCTGTCTATATGTGAACATCCTACCAGTCCGAACCCCATATGCGCTCACCAACCAAAACCGAAACAAAAGAAAAATGGCTCGCAGCACATGAGGTCGGCACTGTACTTTTGTCCCTAGCACCTTCACTCGTTAAAGCTTTTGTTGTCGTTGTGCTTGTCTTTCCCAAAACCAAATCGAATCCCATTTAGTAGAATTAGATTTAGTTCTTGTTGAAAACACCCAGAAGGCTCTTCCACACCTGGCCAGGCTCCTGGCTGGCGTCAATACCGCGCCAGATTCCGGTGGTCTTGTAGTACTCGCAGACGGGGGCGGTTTGAGCGTGGTAGGTAGCCAGACGCTTGGTCAGGGTGTCGGCGTTGTCGTCGGAGCGCTGGATCAAGGGCTCGCCGGTGACATCGTCGGTCATGTTGCTCTTGGGGGGGGGTTGAAGACCTTGTGGTACGAGCGGCCGGAGGCGGGGTGGACGAGACGGCCAGTGATACGAGAGACGAGGAGGGAGTCGTCAATCTGGAGCTCAACGGCGTGCTGGAGCTTCTGCTTGCGGGCGAGAAGCATCTCGTCCAGACGCTGGGCCTGGGCGACAGTTCGAGGGAAACCGTCCAGGATGAAACTGTGGATGCGCGTTAGTTTTAGTTTTGTTCTGCTTGTTTGTCGGATATTGACGCGGAAATATCGGAAATGCAGAATGGGAGGGAAAGAAACAAGTGTGAAGCAGGAAAACAAAAACAAATGGGGGTCCACATACCCGTTCTTGCACTCGACGTTGTTCTCCAGCTCGCTCTTGATCATGCCAATCATGATCTCGTCGGAAACGAGACCACCCTGGTCCATGATCTTCTTGGCCTCCTTGCCGAGGTCGGTCTTCTTAGCGACCTGCGAACGCAGCATGTCTCCGGTGGCCTAGTAGAAACAGAATCATCGATTAGCAAATACAATTTGTATATGCATGGCGGAAGACCATCGGATATCGGCTACTTACCAGGTGGCACGCGCAGTACTTGTCCTTGATGTTGGGGGCCTGGGTACCCTTGCCTGTGACAACGCATTAATAGCCATTGGGTTAATTCAATTAACGCGAATGCTTACCGGCACCAGGGGGACCCATCAGGATGATGCGCATCTGCTCGGTGACCGACTTGGGCTTGTCGCCATTGACGAGGCGGCTCTCCAGGTCGACGACCCGGGACTCGAGCTTGTGGATGGTGTCCTTCAGGCCGGCGACGGCCTCTTCTGTGATGGGAGCCATTGTGATTGAAAGGGGGAGAGGAGCGGAGAGGAGAGGAGAGGAGGAGTCGAAGAGTGCGGGTGGAAAGGAAGAGAGACGGGTAAATGGAGAAATGGAGGGAAGGGAAGGAAAGGAATCTTAGCGCCCGAGGTTCGGAGCGGCTGTGAACGACGTAGTATGCCGATGCGCAACAACCGGATTTCATGAACAGCGGAAACTTTAGTGTTTATAATAATTGATATAGTAGCATTGGTTGTTTAATTAATGCTAGATAGCCTAATAAATTACAACTCCACTTATTATTTGTTATTTCTAATCTACCAAGTTTATTTCCCCCGGCAAAATACAAAAGCCAACCAGTGGTGCTGACTAACCCACCATTGAGGCTGGTGGCTGATGCAGTGTGGCGCACCCCCAAAGCTCTCCGACCATTGGGAGCATCATCGGTCATCGTCCTGCTTTGCGAACCATCCAGTTTCAAAGACACCCCCCTTCTGAATCAATCAGCTCCTCCTCCCTCCTTCTCCCGAGCTTCTTCTCCTTTCTGAAATCCCATTTCACATCTCTCCATCATGCCTGCCACTACGGCGGACACGCTATCCCTCGTCAACCGTTCCGTCACGGTTGCTCCGTTAGTCCTGCTCTCCGTCGCCGATCACTACGGCCGGACAGCCAAGGGCACCCGGAAACGTGTTGTTGGTGTTTTGCTGGGTGAAAACTCGGGTGGCAATGTGCGCGTATCCAACAGCTTTGCAGGTAAGTCTTCGGTGTTGATGTTGATGTTGATGTGCGGCCAGCTGTTGCAAGCAATTAAGAGCTGACCCTCCTTGTTCCATCTAGTTCCGTTTGAGGAGGATGAGAAGGACCCTTCCGTGTGGTTCCTCGATCACAACTTCGTTGAGTCGATGAGGGACATGTTCAAGAAGATCAATGCCCGTGAGAAGCTGGTTGGTTGGTACCATTCGGGCCCCAAGCTGCGTGCTTCGGATCTAGAGATCAACGAGCTCTTTAAGAAATATACCCCCAACCCTTTGCTTGTCATCGTTGATGTCCAGCCGAAGGAAGTTGGTGTTCCGACAGATGCATACTTCGCTGTGGATGAGATCAAGGATGTGAGTGGTTTCCGTGGAGGTGGAGGTGGAATTGTGTTCCGCCAGTTCTGACAGCTAACCATATTCTTAATCGTATTCAGGACGGCACAACTACTTCGAAGACATTCGTACACACCCCATCGATAATCGAGGCAGAGGAAGCCGAGGAGATTGGCGTGGAGCACCTACTCCGGGATATCAGAGACGTCGCAGTCGGCACTCTTTCAACTCGTATCACTTCACAGCTACAATCTTTGCAAGGGCTGCACCTCCGACTACGCGACATCGGCCAATACCTCCAGAAAGTCCTCGACGGCGAGCTCCCCATCAACCACGCAATTCTCGGAAACCTCCAAGACGTTTTCAACCTCCTCCCCAACCTGAGCACCCCAGCCCAGCAACCCAGTGTCAGCGGCCAGCAGCAACAGGAGTCCCAGGGCGAGAACAGCGAGCTCGCGCGTGCTATGAGCGTCAAGACGAATGACCAGCTTATGGCCATTTATATCAGCAGTCTGATCCGTGCCATTACAGCGTTCCACGACCTGATCGAGAACAAGATCCAAAACAGACAGCAGCAGGAGGAGAACGACTCAAAGCGGGATCAGGAAATGAGTGCGGCTAAGGGAGACAAGGATGCTAAGAAGACTGGTGGGGATGTGAATGGCGACCAGAAGGAGGAACAAGATGCGTCCGAGAAGAGCAAGAAGAAGAGCTAAAATGGCTTTTTCTGAACTTGTGCTTTTTTTTATCAGAGGAATGATGCCCGTCAATATGAAATGACCAGAAACTGCGGCTTTGCAGTGTATAGTACGGATAATCAAGGATATGATGACCAGGTGACAATCCATCTTCCGTCCGCAACCTGAATAGATTCATCGTAATAATGCTCCATAGAGAGCGAGCGGCGAGCGTAGAGCGTAGCTCAAAGATTTCCCCGTTTCCCCTTCATGGTATGTCCTCCATAATGGCCTGGATCCTAGGCAGGATACTAGTATTGTGCTGTTGGGAAATTAAGCATGAGTTTGAATATGTAACGCATCCAGGGCATTTATTAATGCATGCGTAGCTCGTTCGGCGAGGCCTTATAAAGTCTGCTTTTGAATACACCACTCAGATGTATATTGCGAGACTGGCAGGGTTGAGCGTGTCTGTGGTCACCTCATCTCAACTGGGCGCGCCCGTATAAGCCTCATGCATATCCCGGCCGCGATAAAAATCAGGACTCCATGCAACAGCCTCAAGACGCAGGGCAATACTGTATTGGGGGGAGGAAGGGGTCTCGATGTTGGTTTGATTTGATTATCATGCAAAATCTCACCTCACCCACCCCATCCAGCACACCAACCAGCCATCTCCTCCAGAGAAACGAGTTTGCCATCCCCATATTGACCAAACAAACCCGGACACCGAGCAAACAGTATACAAGCGAGAATATGCTTGCAGGCCGGCGGAGACCCCTTGTCTGTATCACGGGTGAGAGTCCCACCAAATGGATAAACAACAGGCAGTATATTTGCATACGCATCCCGGTCATGCAGCAGCTTCTCCATCTCCGGGTGGTTTTCGGGGATATTAGTCGAAGAACCCTGACGAGAATCTAGATCTTTGAATGCCGAGAGGGCGAAGGTGGGGCATGTGCAGTTCCACGCATTTAGACGTACTTCGTAGCCCTTTTCTGGGTCTTGCGTGGCTGTTGGCGTTGAACCTCCTCCTCCTCCTGGGGGTACTCCTCCGGGTATTGCTGTTGTTGCTGCTGCCGCTATTCGACGTGGGGCTGCTGATGCGGATGTCACTAGGAAAATGGCATCCGGTGGGTTACTAGTTTGACCGTTTCGGGGATCCTCCGTGGTTTGTGTCGCGTTTCCATCTGCAACTGTGGCGTGGTCCTGGTCCTGGCCAGGGATGGTTGCTGCCGTGTCTTGGTCTTGGTTTTCTGTGCGCACAAGGACAAGGCGCTGCACAAGCCTCCGGTCTAGGATGTCAAGGGCTGGGAGGAGGTCGTTGGGGAAGAGGCAGTGTAGAGTGAGGATGATTGGTTTCACTTTGGCTAGTTGTGTTGCAGGTAGACTAGCCAGAGGGTTGTGGTTTTGAGAGCCTTCTCGGGGCTGTTCTGACCCGCTTGGGGGGTTTGAAGCCAGCTAGTTCTGTGATCAGATGATCGATGAAGCTTCTGCTGGATGGTAGGTCCATCTGTTTGGTCTAATGGTTTTCTTTCTTTCTTCTTTTGTATGCGTTTCCACGCGTTGGGTGTGCGTGTCCGAGTCGTGGTGGAAGAGCGGAAGATGTCCGGGACGCGCAACCCGTTCGGGAGACACGAATACAATACTATATAGTAATTGGAGGAATTGATTCGGGAAACAGAAATATTGAATCCATTGAACTAATAATACTAGAGATAAAATATCAAAACAAATAAATTGTTGCACTTGAGAAATAAAAGCTATTCAGAATCTTGAAGTTGATGTTCAACAATGTATATATCTCGCGGACCACTTCTCGAGCAATCCAATATCTAGGTAGTAGGTTTAACCACTGGCACCGGAAATGTCAGACCAGAGAAGCCTCGGATTATACCTCTAATCCGAGTCTGACATAATATCCTCTTTGGACCTTTGGCCCTTAATAATCGTATTCAGTGTCGAGTTTAGAGGAGTCTCCATTGGGTTCTCTTTGACGTTAATTGGATAACCTCGCACAGCAAAGTCCAGCGGAATCTCATATGAAATTTTACCAGAATCCATTTGACTACTGGCCTCGTACTCAATGTACTGGACTCTAAGGAAGCCTTTCTTGTTGTTCTGGGGTGCCGGGAAATTTGCTCCGAAGTGTGCAGGCATTTGGAAATTCTCATGGGCCATCGGAGGTCCCTTGAGGTCTTTCTCAGGCAAGTTTCCTGGAGTTGACTGACTTGCGTAGCGTATTGGTTGCCCTGTTGCTGCTGATGTTCCCCGAAATGCAACTGGAGCCGTCTGAATTGAGCTCGACCTGTTTGAAGTGGTATTGCTTGAAATTGACTGGACTGAGGGGCTAGAGGTGAGATCCATTGTACCAAAGCGACCTTGGGGTGTGGCCTGGCTCTCAGGTCGACGATGAACACTAGACCAATTCAACTTTTCATTCGGGAATGAGGTGACTTTCTGTTGTAGGCGCTTCTCAATTCTGTCCACGGTGTATATCTTCTGGTGTCGGATCATTCTCTCCTCAGTCGGCTGCCTGGGGCACCGGGTGTATACGAATAGATAGGCATCCTTCTGAGTTTGAGGCAATCTACAGAAAGTCGAAATTGAAATTGGAGTTGCCGTCTCGTCATCGATCAAGGTCCATTTGTTGGTTCGACCCCTGACAATGATGGTATAGTGGCCTTGGTCGGCGCTGGAGCCAGAGTGCAAGATCACCGAGGTCAGCTCATAAGTGATATTCTGATTCGATGCTGACTCGATTCGTGGATCAAAATATTCTCCCTTGATTTTGACGTGACCCTCAAAGTCGATTGCTTTGTCGATCTTCGTTCCGTCTTCCTCATTACGGTTGAGCTGAACGACGAACATTTCGGACGGTTTGGAGATGTATTCTTTCTGCATCTGTTTGCATTTACATTTGCGGCAGGATCCCGCGAGGGTTTGCATGTCTAGGTGCGCTAAAATAGCCTCCTCGACGGTCTTGACCTTGCTCTTCGAGTCAAACTGAAGAGACAATACAGGCCATCCGGACTCCTTTTGGTATGTAGTGTCCGCACAGCATTTCTCTCCTCTACACTGTTGACCAGTGACGAGTTCAGTGTCACAGATTTCCATATAATCATTTTGACTAAAGGACACGAATTAGTTTTGTTTTGTTTTGTTGCAGGCCACTTAGGACACCAAGGTGATAGCTTACAGTGCAGGTTGAACATCCTCCAAGATCTGGTAGTACATTTCCATAAAGAATTCCGCGGGATCTTGCTGGCCGCTCTTCTTCTCCCCATCTCCGTCCTTCCAGTTATCGAAAATCGCATCCCACAGGTCCTGAACCTTGTCCTCAAGATCCTCTTCCCGAGAATCCCAATAGCTACTCAAGAAGGAATGGAGGTGGCAGGGTCTACACACAGCTCCTTCATCTCCCATCTCGCATTTATACCCCTCTGGGACGTGATGCTTACTGTACCACCACGCCCAATGAATTATGGCCGGAGAGTGCGCGAATAGTTGAAAAATCACATTTCGATAGCACAAGTCTCCAGGGTTCGTGATACCGACTTGTGTCTGTTCGGCTGCCCAGCTATCCCACAGCGAGACAAAGGGGCTCTAAATGGCTGTTAGATTGGTACAATGGGTTTAAGGCTGATGATGGCTTCTCACTCGTCTTGCAATGGCTGTCTGGCGCCTGTTGTGCTTTCGTGTGCGACCAGCAACTTTTCTCTCCTCAGTAAGAAGCCTGGCAAGCTCTTTATCTGACGCCGCAACCTTTTCGGGAGTATTCAGTAAAGGTTCTCGTGATCCCATAGGGTCGGGGCGAGGAGCTGAGAATAGCGGAGAAGAGGCCGCGCGACCCCCGATAAATGTATCAGTCATGATAGAGGTTGTGGTTGTAGATCGGGTCCAAAAGAAAAAGCAAAAGAGAAAAGAGAAATCCAGAGTTCTGTGTTTCTTGACACACAAGGGAAAATGTTGGCCTTTTTGAATACTCCCACCGAAGACTTTCAATGAAGGCGGGTTTCTTTGTTGGCATCAAAGCCTCGATGTGACCATCCAAGGACCACCCAGCGGGAGGTCTCTTCGGTTTCTTTCATCGTTAAAGAAGGATGGAAGAATCTGTCAGTAGAAAGAAATCGAGGTTTCTACGAGTGTCTTGCTGGTGGAATGGGTCGTTACACAAAGAGAGTTATCGTTCTATAGTTCTGCATTATGCCTATTGGGGTAGAGCGTGAGGTGTGGCCCAATATACGATACTCTGTACAAAGAATTCTCTTCTTACCACAGATCCTCCGTACAGATGAAAGAAAGGACTCTAGGGCAAACTGACTGAAAGAATTAGTATTCTACTACAAAATCGATCGATCGAAAGTCCCATACCTCAAGAGTCCCCATAGGCTCACAAATAGTTTTCTTCTTTTTTTCCTCTGTCTCTGTCTCTCTCCCCCTCCACCTAACAATACTCTATGTACTCCGTACAGTTCTCACCTCGCCTGTCATAGACGCCACTCAACCAGGGACCAGGCACACGAGTGTCCAACGGTCCAGCCCAGTTCGAACATGTCAAATTTGCCTTGAAATTCTCCTTCAGTGGGGGCTGTCACTTCGAACCCTGGTTTGGAGGGAGCCCCGTGAATGACGATCAACAGACTCCGCAATGGTCCAGAAGCTCGCGAGGAGCACGAGAGAGCCTAGAACCATGACGACCGCCCTCCCTCCCCGACTCCTTAAATTATGGATGTTTCTGTTTTGGATGGAGAAGGGAGTCTCGACCCATCGAATGTGAGGCATCGACTGTCACCAACGGGATCGACGAGCTCAGTTCCTCAAACTGGCAGGCCCAACGGTCGACACCGCCAGGACCAACCCTGTCCAAAGCCACTGACAGCAGACAAGCTCGATCAAGGCTAACCCACCAGCGCAACCCACGGAATGTGAGAACAAGCCGTACCAAGACTTTACCCAGGCAACCCTGGTCCCGACCGTCAGCCATGAACCGGTTCCTGGCCACAGCAGCTACTTATTTCCCAGTGAGGATTCCCCACAAGGCCAGATGTTTCAGGTTGGCCCTCCTGAGTGGAGTGCGAAAGAGAGTAGGCCTGACGAAAGGACTGCCTCAGGGGTGATTGGTCGTTCGATCGTGTGTCGTGAGATCCGGCCGAGTCTTTAGACCGGGCTGCATATCCTGCTGCATCGAGCGATCTTGTCTCTGCTGCTCCCTGCTAGAGCCCCTCTCTCTCTCCTCTCTTCTCTCCTCTCCTCTTCTCTCCTCTCCATGACGGAGTATGCTTCCCCCCCTCCTCCACCAACCCCCCTTCTTGCCCCCCCCTGGGATCCTCTCAGGATCATCGCTGGATACGTCCAAAATCAACGGTCGCCCAAGACAAACAAAAATACGTCGTTTTTACCACCCCCTATCTGTGCAGTCCTTTCCCCTTACACAAAAGTGACAGCAGCGTTCTTCGCGTCTACCGAAGATCCACCGTTGAGGACACTGCCCCGTCAAACGGTTGGGCGCCACTTTTCAGCTCTGCCACCTGGTGCCTATGATCTAAGTGGACCCTCACCCCCCTCCGTTCTTGTCGGCCCTTCCGAGAAATCGCGTCGGGTCTGGTTGAAATGGGGGAGGTCTTCTTTCTAACAAGTCAAATTTCCCACAATCCTTCAGGTTCTTCAAGGGCGGAAACTACTATAAAGTAACGGATAGTAGGAAGAATGGGGTCGAACCGCCAGATCGATGGGTCCTCTCGGCATTGATGATCGAAATAGATTGAGAGAAAGTAAAGTGCCAGCCATGAAACAGCCAGGAAATGAAGTGTCAGGCGAAAAACCGGGTCCCCGGTGGATGTGTCGGACATTTAGGGCGATCACTCTATGCAATAAATAGAAGAAGTGGAAAACCCGCCACCAGCTCTTTCGGCCACTTCCACTTGTGTCATAGTCGCGATGATCCAACGTTGGCCCTTGGCCCCCCCCCTCCCCACTCGGTCGTCCTTGGCTCGTGTAGGGAGAGTATCTCTCGCCTGGCGTGTCTCTGGGCTGGCACTGGCAAGAATGGATACACCTCAAAACTAGGTAACGCTCCAAGGTGCCATCCCGCAAGCTTCACGTGTGAGAAGGACAAGCTCTTTGTCCTTTCCTTTCCCTGTTGGAAACCCCTGCATACCGTCACAAGATGAGAGCTTGTCCATTTAGATGTCTTATGTCCCATGTTCACCCCTCATCCTACCCTGGTAACCTCCTCCCGTGAAGCAGTAAAGCACTTGAAATCGAATCGAGTCGATGAAATCCGAATTCAAGCCAAGCCAACTCGAGTCCAGCTGAGTCAAGTCAAGCAGAACAGAACAGGACAGACGGGATCATCACGGATCGTCCTCGCTTCGGACCAGACTGGAGCTTTGGGCGCGGCCGTTGCCCCATTCTTTTCCCCTAACGCGCCCCATCTGTACTCCGTACAAGCATGAAATCTACGACGCCGTCGATGCCGGACGGCATTGGCTCAAACCCCTCTCCTCTCACCTCTCACCTTCTCTCTTTGTTTCCACCCCTCCGACCCTTCCCTCCCCTCATATCACCCATATGGATATCCATACGCATTACCCGTCCTTCCGACCCGCATCATCGCACCCTTTCTCCCACTTCGGTATCTATTCCCCTTGGGCAGCGATGGAGTGAGTGGAATAGGGGGGTGGACTCAGGAGAGAACCAACCACCAACGCCATAATTGAATTATAATTATGATTATGATTGTCTACATATAATTATGATCTTCTCCCCTTGACGCATGTACATTATGATCTATGTAACTGATATGCCACTGATCTTCGCATGGACTAACCGAATGTTTCAGGCAACTGAACGGATCGTCCACACACAGTACAGTAGCAGTAGGCATGTAAACGTACAGTAGGTAAAGGTAAAGCTCAAGTTAAAGCGGAGCACACCGGGAGAAATATGTATGTATCGTACTACCAAATCGGCGTTGCTCGGGGAGCCGTTGGCGAGGAACTCGTGTTCGAGCACTGTGAAGAACCTGCAGGACTGAGTTGGCGTTGTGCTTTGTCCCGATGCAAGTGTTGTCTATTTTGCTTTTGCCAATTTATTTTATTTTTATTTTTTCTCCACCGCCACTTTGTGTGAATCTCAGAGTGTGAGCTGAGAGCCTAAGAGCAATGAGCATCGGTGGCTTTGCCACTTGGGGCTCGTGCTAGGCGTGCAGCATGCATCGACCCAATCACGGAGAATAAATGGGCGGCTGCATTATGGTATTATCGTCATGTGGTATGGGTAAGGGTAAGGGTATGGGTATGGGCATGCGGGCGAGGTACATACTGCCGTTAGTACCTTGCGTGGAGTTGGAGTAGTTGGTACGGAGTACAGTTAGTGGGAATAAAATTGAATTGAATCATAGTGCCAGAGTACTCGTACTTGCCCATCTTCCCAGTTTACTCGGACTACGAGTAACCAGTTTAATTCAAGCAATTTCAATTTCAATTTCAATTTCGCCAGTGTAGGGCGGATGAGACCCACCGGTCCCTTAATCTGGTGGGAACGCGCCAAAAGGCAGCCCCGTCGTTCCCTTCGTAAAGTGCGGTTCGGTAGCATTTCCTTCTTCTGTGCCTTTTTTCGTCCACAGTCCACAATCTGAGACCTTAGCCTCGGCTGGGCTACACCTCGTTCTCGTGTCGAAAGATGGGCTGGTCCCTGGATTGTGATTTACGAGTATCGGGAGAATCTCATTTCCCTCGGGATGGTTTCGGCCCTTTGTAATCTCTGTGCAATTTCGCCGACTCCTCTTTTTTTTTTCTTCCTCTCTCTTTCGATGTGGGGGCGACGCGGCCACGGTTATTGTTATTACCTGTGATTAGATTATATGGAGTACTCTACTGAGTACACACTCCAATATGATTCTAGACCTTTCCCGCTCTAATTTCGCGCGGGTCTGGCCCCTCCAAGAATTCATTGCGACGCCGTGTTACCGGGCGAGCTGCTGCGAACGGTGCGAGTCGGATGAGGGGGAGGAAGGGAAGGGAAGTTCTGGAAGAACTGCCCTTTCGATGCGATCGGATTGTTGAGAACAGGGCTGGATACAGAGCTGTAGTGTACAACTTGTTACAGCATCCAGCTTTCTCAACTTTAGTTTTCTGGCTAGGTTAGCTAGGGAGCTAGGGAACTAGTACGAGTAGCTATAGTTCTTAACTATATAGCTTGTAGCTATAGACGAATAGTCTTCAGCCAGTCATTACCTAGGTAAGCACGAGTACTCCCTTTCATTAGTACGTAGTTATGTACAGTCGCAGTTGGAGCTAAGGTAGTACTAAGTATCAGACGAACAAAAGTCCCTGCTTGTTAGAACCGGGAAATGGGAAGGGATCCACAGGATCAACTGGAGGGGAGGAGGGGGGGTCTTGCTGGTGGCTGATGGACCAAACACCACGAAGTACGAAGTAGTGCCTGTATGGATACATACAAACAGCCAAGCCCGCAGCAAAAATCCCCGAGTGGTCACACGGAAACTGAGGCTGCAAACCGCTCCGCTCGGGGCTGCTTGAAAAAAGAAAAGTAAAAAAAAGAGGCAACGGATGGTGGGCCTGGGAACGTGAACTTGACTTGAACTGACGCGCAAGACCCCAGATCCCGGCAAGAATGGGCCTCAGCAATGGGCCATTCTGCGTTAGTTCTAGTGGAGCGCCGTTAGCCTGCGATCTGGGTCCTGCGAGGGTTTTAGTCGCAACGGCATGGCATTAGGGCGGGTTAGCGCCTGGGCCGGCGCTGGCCGTGGCGCCCGTTGTGACTGGCCAGTGCGGCCTTTAAAGTGTCCGTTACGCATCCTCATCTCATTTCAGGATGATGCGGGTCCAGGAGTCTTCTACCGGGGGAGAGGACGAGTTCTAGCCAGGAGATGTGATGGAGTGGATTGACCAGGCTCTGTACGAGTACTCGTCTGTACCCAAAAGGTATGGGATGATTCGTCAGGCACCGCAACAGAGATAGTCGGTGTTTCTCCCTTTTTCTCCTTTTCAGTGTATTCACTTAAAAGGGGGAGGGGGAAGAGGTAAACAGTAAATAGTAAACAAGGTGTGTTCGATGTCATAACGGTTGAAAGAGGGAAAGACTGGAAAGGCTGGAAAGGCTGGAAACAAGAAGAAGGGTTTGACCGCTCAGCATCTTTAATTAAAGCAGCAGTGCTGAGTGGATCGGGGATATTGTGGCTCTGCTTGATGATTCTTTGGGATTATTTGGGGGGGGTTTTTCCTTTTTAATTTCCCTTTTAATAAAATAATAATAATAATAATAAAAATAATACACAATATTATTATTATTCCTTATACCCTTATTTGATTTACCATACAGTACCATAGTCTAACTACTCTCTCTCCCTCGTCCTTCTCCATCCCGGCTTTTAGCTGTCATTGCCAATCGACATCTGGTTTCATCTTCACGTTCTGGACTCTTTCCTGATGCTTTCCCTTTTCCTCTTCTCTTCTCTTCTCCCACGCCCTTTTTATCCTCACATCTCCATCTTTTGATCTTGTCTACACACCTTGAGTCATTTCGAACCTTCTCGAGCCGCCTTTTTTCTTTTCCTTCCACTCATCTTCCACGGTACTCTTCAGCCGTCATTCTGCCGCGCGCCTCTTAACGGCTTTACCTCTGACCTCACCATTCGTTGCACGAGACCGTGTCTCTTTTTGAGTTTCTGCTCAAGCCCGGAGCTTTTTGAACGTGGATCCTTTTGTGGTGATCATCACATACTGCCTCGTCTAGCAAAAATAGAGATATACATCGCCCCTGCCAGTACCTCTGCAAGCCAGAACTCTGTCGTCATCTAGACTTGTCACGAGCTTCATCTTCATCTTTCGCCTTCTTCCTTTTATTTCCTCATCTCCTCGCTTTATCTGCTCCCTTCCTTTTCTCTCTCTCTCTTTTCCTTCTCTCTCCTCCCTCTCCCCCCCTCACCTATCGTTTTTGGAGGGGGGTTCATTTTCTATCTACTCCAACACAAGACCCGACCTTCCCCCCCATCGCGCATATGATTGCGTTACAACATCGGCCTATCTTGCCGCCCGCCAAAGTGGATATCTCACTGCTACTCAAGCCCCAAGATGAGGATGAAGCCCCGGGCATTCCTACGTCTCTCTATCCACCCAGATCCCTCTCGGGGCTCTCGGGGCTACCTCCGGTCTTGACAGGCCCGTCCCCCAGCCTGATCCCACCACCGCTGATCAAGACCGGTCCAACAGGATCGGTAAAGCGGTTGCAACCTGCGCACACGTCTGAGTCACCGGCTAAGAAGCAATCCAAATGGTCTCCCGAGGAGGACGCCCTTATCATCGAGCTGCGGGGCAGCGGGATGAAGTGGGAGGATATCAGCAAGCGACTGCCTGGCCGCAGCGCGATTAGTTGTCGCCTTCACTATCAGAACTACCTTGAGCGCAGGAGCGAGTGGGATGAAGATAAGAAGAACAAGCTGGCAAGGCTGTACGAACGGTAAGAAAAAAAAAGACACTTGAAACCATCAGAATGGGATGGGTTGGGGTAATCCAGTTTGGGGAAAAGAGAAGAAGAAAAACAGCTAACAGTCGAATAGATTCAAGGCGGAAATGTGGTCTAAGGTCGCAGAGGAAATGGCCATCCCATGGCGTGCAGCCGAAGCGATGCACTGGCAACTAGGAGAGCAGGAAATGGCCCGCCGCGCAGGCGTGGTGCCGTTTTCCTTGTCCAGCACTGCCATTAATCCCCCCCCACCACCAGAACTCGTCGAGCAAGCACCTCTCTATCCCGACCACGAAAGACTTCCCTCTCACGCGCTATCCCCGGTCACCCTCCCGGCATGCCACCTCAACTGCCTTCCCTCGAAGAGCTGACCGCCGGTGTGCCCGCATATGCACCACCTGCCCCGCCCCCGCCAAGAGAGTATTATGGAATCGGACGACCATCAGAGATGGGAATCCCCCCCGCCGGGCCTCATGGGTCCTCATCTGGGAATGCCCCCACGAACCCTGCCCTAGGATGAACTTGACGATCATGCCTGAACGGCTTTCCTTTGTTTTTTTTGATTGATACGAATTGCATAGCGCCGGCTGGAGGTATACCGTGATTTGTGGGAGGCCATGAATTGCATAGAGAATTTTTGCTTCCCCCCTTCTCTTTTGCGTTGAACTGTTCCTGTTTTTTTCTTTCCTTTTCACTTTGATTTGGAGGGGGGAGCCGTTGTCGGCGCGGCGCTCTTTACCCCCCGTTCCCCGCGACATCCCACGTTGCATGTTGATGACGATCTTTTCGAGGCTGGTTCTTCGAAACAACAATGTGACTGGGATTTCATTCAGGAAGCGGGCTTGGGCTTGGGCGTCGCAATAGCCCACCAATTATCCTTCTCATACCCGGACTCCAAAACCTGTCCACCGGCTTGCTCGATATCGCGCTCTAGCTCCCCTTCCTCATACAGATGATAGTACCGATGGAAGGTCTGCTCTTGCCCTTGGTCCAACTTGGACTTTCGAACCCAAGGAACCATGATATCTTGGGGATCACCTTTATCCCAACCACGACGACTATCCTTTTGCTCCAGCGCCCAGGCATAAACCAGGAATTTCCCCCCTGGTTCCGTCCCCGAGCCCCGTCTTACAGTTCGCAATATCTCGGCAACTGCCTCCACTCGCCGCTCTGGGGTCGACATATGGTGGACCACTGCGATGGAGATTGCAAAGTCAAAGAAGGCGTCCCGATGCGGGAGTTGGAGAATGTCAGCCACCACGGTGGAATGGGGCTGATGCTGGATTGCAATTCGCGCCAGATTTTCCGATCTGCGGCAGCGCGAGTCAGACCGGATCGAGATCGAGATCGGGATTTGGGCAAAGGAGAAGGAAAAGAGCAATGGGAATGGGAATAGGGATGGGGGACTATCATATCATCGCATACAATTTTCAAGAAAACAAGAAGAAAAAAAACAAGTCAAAAAAGAAATAACAACCTCAAACCCCCAGCAAAAAAAGCAAAAAACCAACTTGAAAATTCATTTTATACAAATTATAGAGCAAGCAACGCAGATGATATATGAAACCTCAACCTCATATCAAGTATTCTTCAAAACTTTCAAAACTTTTCAAAATAACGTACCTATCCGAAGCCACTATAAAGACATCCTTATTGACGGTCAAATTCTTCCCATTGCCACATCCTACGTCCAGACCAACAGACCCGGGAGACTGCGCCTGGAGGAATTGTTCCACGATGGGCCAGGCCTGTCATCATGTTCAATCCAAAACTCATTAGTTGGGGGGGTTGAGGCTGGCGGGGGTGTGCATTCCTTCAGTGTTTCGTTTCACCTACCTTGAAACGTGTTGCGGAGAAGTGCCCAGCAATCTGCTGATACACTTCATGTACATGATTTTGCTCGTACTCGTCGGCCATCGTGGGATGATATGATATCAGGTTTGGTTTGAGTGTTTGATTAGATGTTTGCTGGTAGCAACCGACGGCGGCGTTGAAGTTGAACACAAGCGAGAATTCACGTGACTGACAGTATCCACTCGGACAATACATACAGGCGTACCTAATCCGCTATGTAAGAGAACTCTATAGAAACATGAAACATAAAACATAAGGAAAAAGACGCCGGAAATTACTGGCCTAGTCAAAACTTAAACTCATTCCGCAGGAAGGAGTCCCCGCTGTCAGAATATCTTTCAAACATTTAATCTCACATCAAACAGCGAAGTCTGCAGTCGAAGTTGAAATTCAGTTTGAGGGTGGATGACTAAGCATTATTATCCACTTGGTGAACCCGTCGCCAGCACATTTCAGGAGCCATCGCTTGTCTCGCACCTGGAAATTGTGAGTACTAGTCAGTCCCCTTGCTTTGTTTCAGGCCAGGGAGTCCCTGCCCGGTTATGAGCACACAAGATCTTTGTCCAACATTTCACCAGGCCCCTGTGAGATCTGTGGGGAAGTTAGATCTGCATCTCCCAGAAAGGCAATATCAAAATGTCCGAATTGGATAGGGGGAGGGTCTAGGACAGAGAAGGAGACACTGCTTCCACATTTGATCAGCCTACTCCTACTCTGGGAGGTAGTCTTTCTACTTCTCATTTCCAGATACATTTTGAACATTAATCGGGCCAGAGCTAACCTTGCCCATTTAGATCACATCTATCAAAACCAAACCCGCAGCAGTCAAAATGGCATTCCAGCCTACCCCGACAGATATCTCTGTCGTTATTACGGCTGCATCCGCGGCCCGGGGCAACGATGCAGAGCCCAGATTCCTCAACGAGCGTCGGGTCACCCCAACCTGGACCGTGAACCAGCTCAAAGGCAAGCTTGAGACTATGACCGGTGTCCCGCCAGGCTTCCAAAGTCTCCGCATCAAAGTCCCCGGACGGCCTGTTCAATGGATGGAAGGCGAGGACCGGCGAATCGATGAATGGGGTCTGGTGAAGGGGTGCGAGATTGAGGTAGGCAACTGCTTTTCCCTTCCCCTTCTCCGCTATGCTGCGGGATTTTGGAATTTATTTATATTAACGTAAATTCGTTGCTATCACTATAGGTCCACGACTCTCGTCCCCAGTCCATGCGACCTAATTACACCGATCTTTCCTCGGTCGAGAAGTACGAATTACCCAGCGAGACATACGAGTCTCTCCCGAATTCGGTACTTGCCTGGAAAAAGAACCAGAAGCTAGGCCGCTTCGACCCTAATGCCCTTTCACCTGAAGAGGCATTGCGCAACCAAGTGGAGAAGGATCAGAGTGAAGTTTCTACTAAAGGTATGCTATGCTATGCTATGCGAGACAGGGCCGCAGGGCCTTGTCTAATATGATATGCCGGCAAGCAAGCCAGTGTTCTAATTGTCCTTTTTTTGGCGTGTGTAGGAATTGCCGTTGCTGCGCGCGCTATCATCCTCCCATCATCCCCGCCGCATATTCGCCGAGGAACGGTTCGATTCGTAGGTCCCGTTCCGGCCATTCCTGTTACTGGACCGGGCCGTGAGTTGGAACGTGAGGGTGAGCTTCCCGCGGACCTACAGCCTATCTGGGTTGGTATTGAGTTGGATGAGCCAACCGGTAAGAATGATGGTAGTGTGGGTGGAAAGAGGTACTTTGAGTGTCTCGAGAAGAGGGGTGCTTTTGTTAAGCCTGATAAGGTTCAGATTGGAGATTTTCCTCCTCTGGATCTGGATGATGATCTTGATGACTTGATGGAGGAGATCTAAATCTAAATCTAAATCTTAACGCGTGAGACGCAATGTGATGCAGAATGCATGGAAATGATTATTATTAGACATGTTTGTGAATGAACTTATATTTCTTACTCTACTCTACTTAACCCTTCGACGAGGCTACTCATCGCCAATTATAAGAGATAGTAGAGTAGATTTGAGGGTGAAAAAATGGAATAAAACCGACATCCAGAGCTAGCAATTACAGAACAACACATATCGCTAGAAAGACACAAAAAACAAATCAAGCAGAGGAGGTATCGTGACGCATTCAACACCGACATGAAGTAGAATCAATGGCAAAATGGAAATAGCCAAGATAGTATTTATTTCCCAGCTTTCTGCTTACCCTTGCGACCTCGAGCGGCTGCAGGCTTGGCTTTGGGCTTAGATGGGCCGGCTTCGGCTTCGGTTTCGCCATCGGAGTTGCCTTGCTCAACGGCTTGGGATGTAGTTCCAGAGTCCTCCTCGGAATCCTCATCAGGGACACAACCCTGTGTGAAGAAGAGTCTTACATCTTTCTCATAGGGATTCTGAAAGCTGTAAACGTTGCCTGTCAATCCGTCGTTAGTTATAGTTATAGTTACAAGGGTAACGTTTTCGTGTTGGGATTCTTGAGTGCTACTCACCTCGGGGGACCTGGAAAACACAGCCTTTGCCTGCGCTGAACTGGACTCCAGAAATGTCCACTTGGACACGACCATTGCAGACGTAAAATACCATGTGCATCTTTTTCGAATTTTTGGGTTTCTTTAAACTGTCTGGTGGCAGGTCAAGAACACCCGATCCAATGAAGGAAGAGCTGAGTAATTTGGCAAATTTGAACGTAGATCCTTTGACGCCCTTCGTTTGGATACCAGAGGGGGCGTAAGCAATAGTGTCTGTGATAAGTACTGGTTAGAGATTGTACAAATAGTGTGCTGCGGTTGGCTCCTCTCTTACCTGTGACTTCTTCTGTGGTGCCTCCAATCGGATCCCATTTCGGTACAATGCCATGGAGAATACCGCCCTGCGTCTCCCATTCGTCCATATTTTCGTCTTCTTCGTCTGAAAAGTCTTCCTTTCGTTTTTTAGACTTGCTTGACTTGGACTTTTTACCACGCTTGCCTTTGCCCTTATTCTCCGGTTCTTGCTCTTCAGTGCGGATGATTTCCTTGATAGTAGAGAGTGGGTACCGCTGGCCCTCTGCGGCTTCTCCATCGCCGTACACACAGCGTTCATTGCGCCAGTATGCAAGAGGCCTGACAGAGACTCGCCCTGAGCGAGTGTGGGTGGAGACATCCTCGGTTGGGTTCTCGCGCTTTAGGATATATAGACTGCGGCCCTTCAAGGGACCCGAACGTTGGGAGTAATTCTCCACAACTCGGTCCAATTCCGGGTCCAGGGGTTCTTGTGGTTGAGCTTCCTTCGATACTTTCTGTTTCTTGGCCGGTCTGGCCTCGGAGGTTTCTTCGTCAGCAGCGCGAGCAGCCTTTGGCGGTCGACCTGGCCGACCAGCGGCCGATTTGCCTTTGCCGTTGGTAGTTTTGGCCGCAGGTCCCTTCTTCGTCAATTTGGTTGCTTTTTCGGCTTGTCGTGGTTCTTCTGGGGCGTCTGCGCGGTCGCTGTCCGAGTCGTCCAAATCTTCCTCGATGGGTTCTGGGATCTCGTCCTGGATCACAGTGTCGTTGCCATGGTCAAAGCTGTTCTCAACATCATCTTGGATGGCAAATGATGGATTTTCGTCATTTTCTTCGTCGGAAAATTCAGTTGTTTCGGGCAGCGCCCTGGCTTTCTGCGAGTTGTTCTTTCCCTTCTTTGGGCCAGCGTTGACCGAGCGGGCGCTCAGAGGAGATGGGTCTCCTCGTAGATTGCCGTTTGTAGCGAGTAGACTTCTGCCCTCGGAAGGACTGGAAAAGTCTTGCTCAGGCTCTGGGGAGGATTGCTCTACTGGAGACCTCCGAACATTTCGGAAAGAGCCTTTGACTGGCGATTGCGACGGTGGTGGTAAATTTTGCGAACGATTGGAGGCATTGAGAAAGTGCATAGGGCCCGGCGCATTATCTGGAGATTGAAACGAAACATAAGCACATAGCTCGGGGGTTTTACACAATTGGCGAGGGGAGAGGGCTGTGTTGTGTTGTGTTTTACTTACCATCCTCGATAGACATATCAGAGCCAATAGAATCTTCATCATCGTCTTCGAAGCCATTCACCTTATCGGGCGATTTCTCGGGAGATGAGAACAATCCATCGACTTCTTCCATTCCATGTTCGTCGCGTCGGCCCTCTTTCAGGGTAAGTCCAGTGCGCCTGGGGGTCGCATCAGTATCAGAGTATAGTTTCGTGCGCGCGCAATTGTCGAGAAAGGAACAACTCACCTTCCTGCGGTTCCGACGTTGGAGTAATCATATTCGCGAGCTTTCCCGAGTCCACGAGCCATTTTGGCGGGGATAGCGACAGCGAAAGGCAGATGGAGAAATTAGTTTGAACCTGCAGCAGCCAAAGTGTAGGTGTGGATGTGGATGTGGAGGGGAGAGGAATGATGCGACGGAATTGGGGGGGAAACCTGCAAGGGAAACGCGCCGGCCCACGCGCCAACCACAGCCGACGCGTCTGTCTCCGCGGCATTTACCACACCTCAACTGGAAACTTCAAGGGTATTTCCCTCACTCTCGCCCTTACCCTCACACACACCCATCATGGTGGCAAGCAAATCAAAGGTCGATGATCCCCAAGGTCTCAGCTTTATTCCACCAAGCGTGGAAAAAGAGCATGTGCTCTCGGGAGATTCCTACGCCTACTATACACCTATTCCAGCCGCCATCACGCCCCACGATAAATCCAATCCCACAAATCCCACAACTGAAGCTACACCATGTGTACTAGGCGTTGACGAAGCCGGTCGCGGCCCAGTCCTAGGACCAATGGTCTACGGCGCATTCTACCTACCACTCGATCTCCACCACTCCCTCTTAGCCGAAGAGCACAGCTTCGACGACAGCAAAGTCCTCACCCCCGGCGTCCGCGCCAACCTCATGCGTCTACTCAACACACCAGGCGAGAATTTATTCGAATCCTGCGGCTACGCGATCAAACTTCTTTCGGCGCGCGATATTGGTTCCGGGATGATGAAACCGGGTACGGCGGTGTACAATCTGAATGCGCAAGCTATGGATGCTACGATTGAGATCATTCGTGGTGTTGTTGAAGAGCGTGGCGTTGATGTAAAGGAGGTTTATATCGATACCATTGGTAATCCGGCTACATACCAACAGAAGCTGGAGCGGATTTTTCCTTCTTTGAAGATCACTGTCGCCAAGAAGGCGGATTCCTTATACCCTTGTGTGAGTGCTGCTAGTGTCGCGGCCAAGGTGACGCGTGATGTTGCCCTGGAAGTTCTGTATGAGGCTGTGCTTCGCGAGCAGTCGTTGGATACAACACCTGAAGGATGGGGTAGTGGTTATCCCTCGGATTCCAAATGCACCGGCTGGCTGAGACGCAACATGGACCCTGTTTTCGGTTGGGGCAATGAGTGCCGCTTCAGCTGGGGTACTGCGAAAGAAATGCTGGAACTGAAGGGTGGAGCACGGGTGGACTGGCCGGTCGATGATGACGAGGATGGGAATGCGATGCTGAGCGAGTTTCTTCTCGCGTCAGGTCCGACTAAAAGTACCGGAGGACAAAGTGGCTTGCAAGAATGGTTTGGCCAGAAACAAGCCGAGATTTTATAACGATATGACCTTTGTCTATCATTAATAATGAAGCTAATAAAACAATGAAGATACCCTTTCCAATCAAGCATACGCAGAATCAAGAAGAGAGAGAAAACATAGGAAAAACATGTCTGATGCAAGTGTCATAAATCACAGAGAAAGATTAGAGTAAGCCCCCCTGAAATGAGGGTTTAAAACTGGGTATCATGGAAGAAGGTCGAGAGTGCGAAGAGGAATTCCATCACAGCGTCGCAGTTGAAAAGTAGTAGTTATCCCACAGGTATTCGTAGTCCTCCACCACGCTGCCTACCAGGTCCAACAGCGGCTTGCCCTTCATCTTGCCAGTAAGACTGTGCAGCCATGACCTAATGCATTGTTAGTGTGTATTTCAAGTTATTGGGAGATAGGGCAAGGAAAGATCCATACTTGGTAATGTTCTCGTAAAAGGCACCCCGCATCAACCACCACCCCATGGACCATCCGCGCTTTCTCAACTCCTCACGCTCAAGTCCAGTCAAGCCTCGAAGACCTCCTGCAACACGTTCGCGGAAATCCCGCTTAGCGAGTTGTCGACAGCCATACTCCATTCCAAAGCCGATCAGCCAGGGCCGCCAGCTTCGCTTATCCTTGCTCCATTTCTGCATCGCCAGAGCATAGACTACCGGTCGCAGAATATAAAGAACCTCCGCCAGCTGCCCTTGGCCGGTAACTCGATGCAGAAGCGTTTTCGGGGGCTTGATGTCGTCGGCAGTGAGAACTTTGGAAATGAGATAGTTTGAAACGTCATTGACGTCCGGAAGTGATGGGAGCGAAAGACCAGTTCGAGGCATCGTCCAGTTCAAGTCGGATGACTTTTCGCTGGTGGGGGTCTCCATTCCATTCCAGTCGCTCTGCTCCTCTTCCGGCTGCTCCATCGTTCTAGGGTCAACTTCGCGCTCGGGAAGCGGGGGGGTTGACCAAGGGTCTAGAATTTGTCAAGCGGAGGAGCAGAATGCGACAGACTGCTTTGGCAAATTCGATGAAGACGACGACACGCCATCTAGTCTTCTGCCCGCGCCGACGCGCTGCCATTTCCCAAAGGAGCTCTGTATATTGGAGCATCTGGAGCGCAAGGGCTACCTGACGATACAACGAGGAGCGGGAGGTCCAGTACTTGGTATATCGTGAATGAGGGGTCGGCGTCGGTCTGGCAACAGTTGATGGAAGCCGTGAGATGACTTTCGCTACGAGGGAGTCATGGTAAAGGGACAGGAGCTGGACACCAGAATGGACTATATGATCTGGTTAGAAACGTTTCAAAGAAACAAAGGTCACAGAGATGTGTAGAGTGTAGACTGACCACATTCTGAGGCGACTTCAGATTCACGATAGCGTCCTGGTGAATGGCATTGATACGTTAGTAGGGTTCCCATGCGCCCAGGCGATAGCATTCCGTGATGGATCGCACTCACCAGGGATGATGTAGGTCAGCGACCGCAAGGCGGACTCGACCTGTCCAACGGAGCTGGAGTTCTTGGTAACGAAGTCTTCATAGAGGGCGAGCCACTTTGATGGTCCTAGCATCGCTGGCGATATGGGATTTGAGATATTCCGAACGGTCTCCATGATCCAGGATGATGCATTGCGTAGTCGCGGAGTCGACAAGGAGAATGGCCGGGGAAGTCACGGGGCGCCAAGACTTGCGGGCCGAGGTTGATGCTTGCGGGCTCTTCGGAGTACTCCACGGAAATGTACATTTTATGCTAACCTTGAGTCAAAACGAAATGAATTCTTGAGAATCTGACACGAGACCTTGTTGCAATGGCTTTGCATACCGTCAGGAATCTACCAATCCACAATAGGATGCGTTGCTCTAATACTACACTACGCGGGGTATAAATGGATCTCATCAAGCCTCCGTGAACGGGCATTCATATGCAACAATAAAATGGGTATAGTACAGATTTAACAAAGAGGTTTCGTTTCACTCATCCGCCCAAGTCCAAAGACCCCCCGGACGCATCGCTTCACGGTATCGTTCCTCAACCTTGTCTCGCTCCAGATTCCCCGCAGCTGCCCAGTCTGCTTCTAGTTCTTGCGTATCGGGCATCTCAGTTCGCCAGAAACCTGGCGGTGTTCGAGCTCGCTGGTGAGTATGACGGTGTTTTCCGTACTGATTGGCGATGACTCGAGCTTTGGCTTCGATTAGTAGACGCTCGCGATCTTCTGAGCTAAGCCCCTCGAGACGATGTCGTTCTTCACCTAGGTATTCTTCCAGTATTTGTTGATTTTCCTGCTCTTGGTTGTTCGTAGGGAGGCCTCCAAGGCGAGCCATCGCGCGAAAGCGATCTCCACAGCAGCCGGGACGCGTGCAGCCGGAAAGGCATTTGCGATCGTCTTTCTTTCGCACTACGGTGCTATATGCGTAGTCCATTCCTTGGTTGCCTTCTGGATTTATCTTGAAATGGGATAAGTCTAGGCGGTGGAGGGGTCGGGATCGGTATGGTTCGTCTTCGGGTCTGACTTCGGGGTATGATTGAGATTCCGTTTCGTCGGTTGCCATCGGTGTTGGTGGCTGACGTTTAGAAGACTCAACTATATTTCGATTTGAACTTGAAGTAGCCACCGCACCGTGTGGAACTTGGGGCAATTCGGCGTGGGGTGGTGGTTCGCATATCTCATGTGAATTTGCATTTGCATTTGCATTCGGTTGAGCTGCTGAGGTGTTCTTCGAGGCTTGTTCGCTGGCTTGAGCTTGATCGTCACACTCCTCCTCAGAGTCACAGACCTCGGTCTTTACCAGTGTGGCACGTTGGCTCCTGATCTTCTGCTTCTTACTCCGGGACTCTCTGTTCGATTGCCCACTTGTTCTTGAGTTTCCATCAATGGGGTTAAGAATCGAGGGCGTTTGAAACGATCGATCATCTGGCTTTTTTAGGAGCGGGTTGACAGGACTACACTCGTCCTCGTGCCCTTGGTTTCCCTGGCGAGAGGCCTCTCTTCGAGACTTTCGCTTGGTGGGTGTTTGAACAGTCTGGCCAATTGCGTCCAGATCCTGGGTGCTTGGAAAATGCTGGCCAATGGAATGGATAGAATTCTGTGGCGGACTCGAAGAAATGGGTTCGTTCTTGACGGCTCCAGACCGCGAGGGAACTGCCTCTCTGGGTTTAGAAGATTTGACAGAAGATACTACCCGTTTCCGTTTCAGATTCTTGATGTCGGGTAGCAGAGGAAGAGTGTCCGAGTTTGCTTCTGATGGTATTGAGTCGACGCCAGATTGGCTCTGTGCGAGGAGAGCTGCTTCTGGATGCTCTCCCAAATTTATGGGCTGGCTCTGCTCTTCCGTCTTGACATGAACTCGTGTATCGGTTAAAGGACCCCGGGTTTGGTTGTTTGGGGGGGTTTGTTGTAGTAGAGGTCGATGAAATGGAGGTTGCGCGATTCATGAGACTTTCATTAGATACCGTATTTGCGGGGCCTGCAGGAATACGCGTGTTCGTTGTTCCCTCCTTCGCAATCTGGGTTCTTCGAAATGTGACGGGTGAACCATTGAGTATAAGTGTAAACTCATTTCGTTCCAGTTGCCTGTCCCAATGACGCAGTTTCTTCTTATGCTGGAGGACTTTTGTCTTGAGACTGCCCCAGCCTTGAGAGAGTGTTTGAAGATTGGCATAGAGTGCCGAGTATTTCTTCATGAAAGTTTTCTTCAACTGGTCGACATTGTCATGGTTGATTGTTGTCAATACATGCTCCGGAGCAAACTCATCTTCCAAATGACTGAGTTGATTTGGGAGTTCCAGATCTTCAGGCTTGCTTTCAAAGTGGCGGAGCTGCTCCTGAAGAGCAGCTATGTGTGATTGGAGCTCTTGGTTTCGATTTTCTGTAGCTTGCTGAGCCGCACTGGCAGTTGCGGCATTCCTTTCTGCTTCTTCTGTTCTTTTTTGGAGATTGGCATTTTGGGACTGCAGATTTCGATAGGCAGTACTAAATGACGCCTCACATGCTTCGGCGATGGATGCATGGAGCTCCTTCAGAACCTCCATGAGGTGTTCGTCTGGTCGTGATCAACAATGTTCATCCTAGGATGTTCCCCACTGACGCGTGCCACGGCTACAGGCAGCGGGCAGCGGCAGTCACGTAATACACGTGATTTCTTATCAAAGACCCGATAAGGGAGGCACTTGACGTAGCCCCGAGTTTCCCATAGCGAAATGGGAGTTTCTCTGTGTATTCATTCCCATTCTCGTTCTCCCCACAATCTCGTGAAGAAACTATGCAAAGATTCTTGTTAATCTGATCATGTCAAAGCGTCGCAGAGGTGAGGAGGACCAGTCCGATGCGCCTTTTTCAAAAAGACGCCGGGACTCTGCAACTGGTGGCCCCGTTGACCGCCTGTCCTCGTTGAGCAATGAGCTTTTGCTTCATATCTTGTCGTTTCTTCCAATCTCATCACTTGGTGTGTGTCAAAGGTAATCGATTTCCGTCCTAACTGCGAATTTCATTAAAAAGATATTTACCCTTCTACCTCATTTTAGATTATCCCGTCGATTCAATGCTCTGAGCGGGGATTCGGAGATCTGGAAAAGACAATATTATACCCAATGGGTGCGCCCTCGAGCTCGCCGCTTGGCAAGTGCTAGACGGCTGAGTAGTTTGGCTCTTCCAAATAAGACGGAATATTCGCCCAAAGTATCAACATGGCTTGGTCATGGTCATCTGGCTGGTAATGCAAATGGGAAGGCGACGAATTGGAAAGGCCAGTATCGTCTCCGACATAATTGGTCACGGGGGGGTTTGCCGACTAAGCGAAGTCGAATTTCCCCCCAGGCCAGATCCGCCCAACCTAGCAAAGCTATGTGCGGGGTTTGTCTTCACGGCGGACTCTGCACATGGTCTCCGGGTTTGGGCGGCGAAGGATCCTGCAATCTGTCTGGCAACTGCCCCGTTCTCGGAGCGGGACGAGTCGTCTAATTTTTGCCCAACTGCTTTAGCAGTGTGTGACTTGCAAGAAGTCCAAGAAGTGGTTGTGGGATTCGAGGATGGGCATTATAAACGTTATATCATGAATCCCGAAACGCCTCAATTGGAGCTACGGTCGTGCCATACGGGATCTAGTCGAGGAGCTATTACTGCTATGGCTTTATCATCGCCATATGTCTTAATGGTATCCCATGATAAGATACTGTCATTGCACTATCTCGATTCTGAGCAGCAAGATTCAGCGAATCCTGGGGAAGCACTGCCTTCACAGGAACTTGCATCTCTAAAAGCAGACAATATGATTGCGCCGATGACCCTCTGTCTTCGAAAGTCGACATTTGAGATCGTGGCCACCATCGTGTATAGCTTCTTCCATATTGGATGTGGATGGTCCCTGGGTATCCAGGAACTTCATTTCAGCAAAGATGGCCAGCAGCTTGAATCTCGGCTTACAAGCACTGTTGATTCACAATATGGCATCAGGCCACCACAAAGCCTGGCACCATCTGCCAGGCGACGCCACTCTGCTACAGCTGAGCCTGGGTCGGTGGCACATTCAAGTGCTGAAATCCCAGCCATGCCATCTATATTGCATAAGCAACCGCCAACATCGATGTCCTACTCTCATCCTTATTTACTGACCTCGCATGCGGACAATACTTTGACCATGTATCTGGTAGTTTCCAACTCCAGTGAACTGTTTGTGCGAGGAGGCCAGCGTCTGTGGGGTCATACATCTTCTGTATCCACCGTCCAGGTAACGAATCGCGGGAAAGCGATTTCTGTCGGTGCTCGAGGGGATGAAATCCGCATCTGGGAGCTTGAGATGGCCATTTCATCCTTGGGCACGAGTCGGCCGTTCAATGAGGAAAGCAGCATACAGGTCAATCCAGAACATGAACACAAAGAGGAAGGCCTGGATCTGCATGTTGACGTTGACTATACACCGAAGAATGGTCGGCGAGAGATCAGTGGGTTAGAGCTAGATTTCGATTCTGACAGGGGGCGAGAATCTCTCACTCCCAGCCTACATGAATGTGTTGGATTTGACGAAGAACGAGTTTTTTCTCCTTCGGGAGAAGACGGTCGGTACGCAGCTACTGGAATGCTACGATTTCACGTAGATGTACCGCAGATGTAGGAATTTTTGAAAGTCTTGACTTGGTGCGTGATGGAGTGAACGTGCCCATGCCATGACCTATGAATTTCTTGTTGAGCCTCTCTACTTTTATTTCATCCCCCCCACCCCTCACCCCCACTTGCATCACATCATACAGTGGCCGACTTGGCTCATTGGATGGGAGGGCACCAACGCAGGTCCAAGATCGCCGGGTAGCACAAGGTACTCGTTTGCCTTCTCCACGAGCTGGGGACCCTTGCGGTGTTCGTGTCCCCCTTGGATATAAAAGCTACACTACCCCCAGAGCATGGAGTTTTGTCTACTATTTAAAGTCCCGGGTGGTCTCCCCTGGGCCTTCTATCTTGAACCCATACCCACATCCGGAGTTTGCCGAACATGTCTACATATCTTGAGGTGGCTTGGTTGGCATTTGGGCTATCTACCAGCTCCTCCTGGTAGACAGATGGACTCATACCGGCAACTATCATCTTGATTATAATGACACCAGGATAGATGGAAAGGCATTCGCAATGACCGTGCGCCTGCTGAGTACCCCATCGGGTGACTTGAATAGTCATGACTTCATGCGCATGAGCGTCTTGCCTTCGATCATGAAAAGATGTCCAATCGATATCCGGACGACCACGGAATCATATTTTGTGGTATCCGACCTGATGGAATCAATCACTTGGGTCAAAAATGAAGGTGAATGGAAAGTAGTGTCAACCGAGAAGATGGTGGCATGTTGGGGGGGGAGGTTCTGTGAGATGCAGGGCGGCACCCAATCAAGACTGGTGGATTTACCAAATGTGAACAATTGGGCAAACTACCGCAAAAAACAAAAGAAAGAAAGAAAGAAAGAGAGCAACAACTGTTTGAGTGCAATCATGTTTCAATGAAAGACCTCCCGCTTGAGTTTAGCGGGCTGGGCCGAGTGAAACGAGCAACTCTTGATTTTAATTGAGAGCGGGAAGTTTTCTCCTCAGGCCCCCCCCGCACTACAAATTTCCTTCGCTCTTCCTTTCCTCTTCTCAACCCCTCCAACCAACACCACTCACATCCCTCCCAACCTATCACCAACCATATACACCAAATCCTTCAAAATGGATCCCCGTGCCAACCGATCATGCTACAACTGTGCGTTTCTTCGTCCCCCCGAATATCCTACGGCTAGCTTGGAAGTTGGCTCGCCTATGGCCCACAGTGTGATCGCTCACGAGATGATCAATCTCTCGCGCGAAATCTTCACTGAACGCCATGGCAGCCATTTGAGCTTTTCCTCGTGTTACCCGTGTTATATTCTCCTTGCTTCAATTCCTGGGGGCATCCCCCGATCGCACCTTGACGTTTTTGACTGACTTTTTTTTTTTTCGCTCGCGGTAGGCGGTGACGCATCCCACCAGGTAAAGACATACCCAATTTCATGGTTTCGAACAGCAGCTTGAAAATCAAGCTAGCTGTTTTGACGCTGTGAAATGAATCACTCGGTCATAACCCGAACCCGAAGCTCACTGGTTACCATCTTTAGGCCAAGGACTGCCCCAAGAAGGGAACCCCCACCTGGTAAGTGAATTCTGGTTGCAGGTTTCCCACCCCCGCCAACCCCAGCCATATCGATGACAGTTCGAAAATTAACATTTCTGGTATAGCTACAACTGCGGTGGCGAGGGCCACGTCAGTAAGTGATTCCGCGGAACCCATCCAACCAACCAACCCGGTGCAAAAGCATCTAACATTCCATTCTTCAGACCGTGACTGCCCCCAGCCCCCCAAGGAGCGTGCCTGCTACCGCTGCGGCATGACCGGTCACCTTTCCCGTGAGTGCCCCCAGGGCGGCCAGGGCGGTGCCCCCGGCGGCTACGGTGGTGCCCCTGGTGGCCAGGAGTGCTACAAGTGCGGTCAGGTCGGACACATTGCTCGTAACTGCTCCCAAGGCGGTGGTTACGGCGGCGGCTACGGTGCTGGCGGTGGTGGTGGCTACGGCCAGCGCCCCCAGACCTGCTACTCTTGCGGTGGATTCGGCCACATGGCCCGTGACTGCACCCAGGGACAGAAGTGCTACAACTGTTAGTATTCCTTTCTTCGGTGTCTTTATAACGTTTTGGTTTCGCTCATACTAATCCCAATCCCACTCTCTAGGCGGCGAGGTTGGCCACGTTTCCCGTGACTGCACCACCGAGGCTCGCGGCGAGCGCGTCTGCTACAAGTGCAAGCAGCCCGGTCACGTCCAGGCTGCCTGCCCCAACAACTAAAAAAAAAATTGATGCGGTGAATTGATGCGGTGTTTTTTCCTCCCTTTTCATCCCACTCTTGGTAGTGTGGGATCACCCCAATAATTTCTTTTTTCTTTATGTCTGGATTCTTTGCATGCGATACGAATGATCTGATATGTCTATTTTCCCTGGATCTTTTTTAACTTTGTATTATCACTCAACGGATTGGATCACGAACCATGGACTTTTTTCTTCTTCGCATGTTTCTCTCCAACGTGGCTGCTACTGCATTTTTGCTTGATCTGATCTGATCTGTGATCTGTCTGGGTTTCAACCTTTCCGTGCCTATGTCTACGTCTAGCGGGCTCTTTCTCGCGCGTCGAAAGTGAAAAGTGGAGTGGAGTGCAACTGGCGATTTGGCTTGCAAGTGATGAATGGGATGGGGTATGGGATTCTTTTTTCTGTTCTGGGCGTCTTTACAGGAGATATTTAGGTGCATGGGGAAAATGCATATCGACTTCTCCAACAAAGCCTCGCCTCGCCTCGCCTCTCATGTAGTCTAAAACGTAATAGGAAACGAGTATTGTATTCTGAGCCAATCCCCATCTCTCACGAGCTGCAGCTGCACATCATGGCTCTCTTGTACTTTGGTACGTCTCCGCAGAATCGCTCCTCCTCCGCAGGGTTAAGTCCCCATGAGTCCTTGAATGGATTGAGGCTCATCTGCATCACCCGGTCCAGAATTTCACGGTCTCCTTTGCGTTCCACGCGCTCGATGATCTCGTCTAAGATCCAACCACGCGGCACGAACTATAGTAAATCAGAAGGTTAGTCTGTTTAACAGCCAGGCGCGAATAAGTCACTTACATTAGGATTGACAGCCTTCATAGCTGCCTGTCTTTCCGCGTCATTGTCAGCGCCCCAGTCTTCCAGTACTCGTGTCCGCCAGCTGTCAAGCCACTTGGCAATACGAGCTCGAGCCGAATCATCCGTTTCACCAATCCCGCCAAATCCATCAACGTGGTAGAAAACGGATGCTGCTTCCCTCCTCTGTTCCTCAGTCTCTAACTGCGAAACCGACAATCCCGAGAGTCGTCGAAAGAAGTGATTGAAATCCAACTCCAGCGCTTCAAGCGTATCAAGCATTTCGGAAAATAGTTCCTGGAAATCTGATTCCTTGCCGGTCTTCAGTCCGAGTCGTGCGCCCATCAATCGCTTATACTCGTTCAAGAAGACGGCCTTGAATTCCTCGCCTGTTCGCTCGATGACGGCTTCCGCACGCTTGATAACTTCAGCCTCCATTTCCTCGCTGACGCCGTCCTTCACGAACCCTTCCTCATCAACCTTGTTTCCGGCCCCGAGGAGCTCGCCAAGAGACTCGCCTAGTCGAACTAGGTTCCACCAGATTATGCTGGGCTGATTCTTGTAGGAATAGCGGAGCATGTGATCGTCGTGGTTCGGCGTGTATGAAGGGTCGAAGTTATCCATAAACGCGAAGGGGCCGTAGTCCAGTGAGAGACCGTAGATAGAAGTGTTATCGGTGTTTAGGACTCCGTTCATGAATCCGTATGCTTGCCATGCAGCAACGGTCTTTGCGTTTCGCCGGACAATTTCGCGGTATAGTCGAGCGAATCTGTTTTCGTCAATGTCTTGGTGTGTTTGGATCGTGTCTTGCGGTATTCCGCGGGGAGGATTGTCGATTTCTGTGGCTGTTTGGCCTTCTTTGATGTTTATGGCTGCCGGGAGCTTTTCCCAGCCTCCGAATACTTCTTCGGCTATGTAGGTGGATAATTGGCGGATTAGCTCGCGCTCTCCTCGGACGCGGAGGAGGTCGAATGTTCCGATTCGAAGCCAGCTTTCGGCGAAGCGGGCTACGATTGCGCCGGGTTCGAGGCGCTCTCGGAGGACTTTTGATTTGGGGAGTAGGGTTAGAGATAGGGCTCTGGTAGTTGGTACGCCGAGGGCATTGAGGGCTGAAGATTTGTCAATATTTCTAGTTCGAAATGGTAATTTGAGGGAAATCCTTTTGGGATGAAAGTTGGGTTGGAAATAATTACCTTCAGAAACCACGTATTCTCGGATACTCGATCGAAGGACAGCCTTGCCATCTGCGAATCGGGAATAGGGTGTCCTTCCTGCGCCTTTCAGCTGTAACTCGTAGCGAGTGTTTGTCTCGGGGTTGGTGCTTTCAAAAAGACTGATTGCACGCTGTTCACGACATGTTAGCCAGTATTCTAGTATAAGAAAACGCCAAGATTGTGGAATCTTAATGTAACGTACTCCATCTCCCAATTGACCCGCCCACGAACCACTGAAAAGGGTCAGTCTCGAATTCATTCCAGTGACAAACTTCGCTTCTATAAGGACTGTACTTACAATTGCCACCCTAAATTCATTCATTAGTGTCAGTTATATATGTAATCCATGTATAGACTATCGCCGAAGCAAGAAAACTCACCACCGTAGCACTGTGCCCAGGGATAAATGCCACCACTCTCCTCATTCCACAAAATCGAATTACCTGCCACTAACGCCTGCAACTCGGCAGTCTTCTCCTCTCCAGCCTTCAATCCCAGGTCATCCATAGCCCTGGGGCTCACGCTGAGCAGCTCCGGCGCCTCGGCGGGTTCCGGACGAACGTAGGTAAACAGAGCGCCCCTGACCATCCGAGGACCTGAGGGTCTCCCGGGGCGCCTTGTGCGAGGCCTCTGGCGTTTCGAAGGCCGGATCAGCCGGTAGCTTGGATGTAAAGACATTTGATTTTGGCAGGTCGGACAAGGAGACGCCGCCGCCGGCGCTGCCGGTTGAGAGATGCGCGACCATTTGGTTTAACCGGTTCCTGGTGGACGGCAAAACTGGGAGACGAAGAGCTTGGGACATATATCGATGGGGCGGGGAAACGCGGAATGCAAGAATCGAGAGCATAAAGGATTCTATTGTTGTAAATATCCCCGAGGTCCTGGAGACTGGAGATATATGTATGATATATGTCGGTCTCCCAAAAAAAAGGTCCGGGAGACGGGAGAAGTGACATCATGCTCCCATTAATAATTAATAATTGCAGCAAAGTCGACCAAGTCTGGGCCGCGCGGGGATCGGCTTGGAAAACTGGGGAACTTGCGGAATTTACGGCAAATTGACGACTTTCGGAAAGATCCCCCCTCCCTTCTCTCTTTTACCTTCTACATCTACATCTTCATAGTGGATTGGAAGAGACATTCTATCGCAATCATGACCAACCACCCAGATATTCCAACATTGAAGCTGAATGATGGTAGCTCAATCCCTGTCGTGAGTGGTTATACTCCAACAACACAACACAAATCTTTTCCCCTCACTCACCCCCTCTCCCCCTCTCCTCCTACCAAACCTCTCTAACTGCCTTATAGCTCGGATATGGAACTGGCACCGCATGGTATAAGAAAGCCGGCGACACCAGCATCAATCGCGAGCTAGTCGACTCTGCAAAAAGCGCTGTAAAGCTCGGATTCAATCATCTCGATGGAGCCGAGGTCTATCGGACTGAAGAAGAATTAGGCCAATCCATCCAAGAGTGCGGCGTACCCCGAGACCAATTATTCATCACCACCAAAGTGGACCAAGCTCGCATCGGCGATATCCCCGCAGCAATTGAAGAAAGTCTTAAGAAGCTCCAGCTCGACCATGTGGACCTGTACCTGATCCACGCACCCTTTACCGCGAAGAATGACGCCGAGCTTCAGGCGGCATGGGCTGCTATGGAGCAAGTCAAAGCATCAGGAAAAGCCCGTTCTATCGGCGTGTCCAACTTCCTGCAAAGCCACCTCGAGACGATTTTGAAAACCGCCAACGTCGTCCCCGTTGTCAATCAGATTGAGTATCATCCGTATCTTCAGCATGGGGACCTGGTGCCCTGGCAGGAGAGCAAGGGAATTAAGACGGTCAGCTACTCGGGTCTTGCACCCATCACTCGTGTACCTGGTGGCCCGTTAGATCCGCTGCTATCGGGCCTGGCTAAGAAGTATGCTGTTCATGAGTCTGAGATCTTACTGCGGTGGACGCTGGATCAGGGATACGTGTCAATCACTACTAGCAGCAAGGAGTCTCGACTCGCAGGCTATTTACGCGCGTTGACATTCAAGCTGACCCCTGAGGAAATCAAGGAAATTTCCGAACTGGGTCAGCAGAAACACTATCGTGCGTTCTGGCGGGAGAAATTTGCGGATGATGACCGGTCGTAACTTCAATAAGGCCAAGTTTCAAATATTCCTTTCCTTCATCTAGGTATGGGAGATCCATATCCATGTGATCTATCATCATAGCATCCAGCGTGTCTTTACGCTCAATGATTAAATTTGAAGCCCAGAGTCTTCTTTTTGTGAACATACATATATATGTGTATATATATATATATATATATATATATCAAGTAGTATTCATTCGGATATAAATTATTACTTCTTAATTAGACTCCAGTGTCTTTGAAGTCCTTTGTTGCTTGCGTGATAGCCGACCGAAGATAACCAATTTACCCTTTTCCTCTCCGTCTAATATTATTTCTAAAGAAGGATCAAAGTAAACAATTCGCAAGTATCTAAATAAACCATAGCATAACATGCCAAAAGAGTACATCGAGTTGCTAGTCAGTGTTACTAACTACTAAATAGCTATACTAAAGTTGACCCAAAAGCGGCGAGGCGGGCAACCCCGAAAAGGGAACCCCCAGACGGAATCCCCATCTCTTTCCATCTCGACTTTCGACCTTCATTCACCTTGACTATTCCTCCTCCAACCACCCCCCAAACACACCTCATTTATTTTCTCTCCCCTTCCCTACCGCGAGACTCTTCCCAGAGACTACGCGCTCTAAGATGCCCTGAGGTGATCTCCCCCCCTCCGAGGCCCGCATGCTATTTACCCGCTTCTCGATGTTTTGACCCGCATTCGATTCCATCCCAAGCGCATGCGACACGCCGACTCGCGTGGCCACCCTCTCCCTTGGCAATTTCAGCTCATCGCGTCGTCCTTTGCAAGCACAACACAATCCTAATCGATGGTGAAATATAAGCAAATCGCAAACTCCGCAGATTGCGATGTCGGTGAACGACCTACCCCCCTCTGCGGACCCAACGATATCCCATACCAATCAGCCATATGCATCTGACCTCGAAGCTCTCGACAATCGACTAAATCGCCTATCAGAGGACGTATTTCCTCTTCACCCTTACCTTCTCACTCTACCGACGAATGCCCCATTTCGTCTGAGCTCCCGTTCCGCAAACAATTGGGCCGTTGGACATGACCGACCGTTCACCTCGGACGAACAGCAGCTTCAGTATATGACCTTCTTGACACACGACAGCGGAGATTCTTTGCTCTTGGCTGTTGGCGATTGGTCGGACGAGTCTGGACGCATGATGGCCGATCGTCCTAGAACCACAAGCACAACCGCTACCGAGAACTCCAGAGACGCAGTCTCCAAGAAGAAAATCAGCCTGAAAGATTATAATACCCAAAAAGTCACTAGCACCTCCGTCGCTACACCTACACCTCCACCCCGGAAAATCACATTCGAGAGCGCTCAGCACACGCGAACAAACGCGAAGGAGGAGCTAAAGCGCGTGCGACAACTCCAACTCCGGACCTCACGATCTCGAACGACAAGCTTGAAACAAGATCAATTCCTACCAAATCACAATCGCAACAACGATCACTATCACCCACCAAAGATTCACATTCCTCCAAGAAACGGCCTTCGGCGTCATACGCAGATCTCAACTCACCCTCACACTCACAACCACCAAAGGGCTCGGAAATAATGCACTCTCCTAAGAAACCGCGACTCTCCCCCGAGAAGGACCAGCGCATCGAAAACCAGCCAGCGAAGCCGTCGCGCTCTCCACGACTTCCTGCGCTTTTATCGCCTACCCTGCCACCTACCTCTGGTCCAAGACTCCCCCCGGTTACTGTCTCCAACCTTGCCGCCGGACATTGAGAAGGAGCTGGCTAAGATTGGCGGGCACTCTCCTGTCCACCATACTTCCCCGAAACGAGAAAATGCTGCGATTAGGACGAAACGCAATGATGAGCTTCATCAAACCAGGACCCCGACATCGACATCCGTGAACAGCGGCAGCAATTCGAGTCAGCAAGGCGGAAGCGGTCGTGCGGGTACATCATCCAAAGACAAAGACTTGGTTGTACCAAATCCACCAAGGCGCATCGTTTCTCTCAAGTATGGAAAGTCGAACCGAAAGAGGGTCGAGGCTCTTCTTAAGTTCGCCGGGAAAAAGAAAGCTTATCCGACGAATTCTACACCTGGTGCGGACACGGATCCTGATGATGTCTCTCACTTTCACGCCGAGAGAAGGAGAGAAGGGGATGTCAGCCAATCGCGCAATAGTATCTCATCCAAAAAGATCAAGAGTAAAGCTAGACATGAAGCCGACGAGACCCTCGGCTCTGGCTCTGTGGGTGGTCGACCCCGAGATCGAGAATCCAGGACGTCCATCGATAAACCTACCACGCCAGCATTCCATCCACCAGCTCACGACAGAACCAAACCTAACACACTGACGCCAGTCAAGGACCTCAAGGGCATGGTGTCCCGCCATGGTGAACCTGGCGATGGCGATGGCAAAACACCAATCAATCCGACAAACAAACGATACTCCACCGATCTGGGAGCAAAGGGGTCACCTTCTCAGCCAGAAAGTCGATCTCGCGACAGCGACCGTCGAGCCTGGCGAGACGAGTTCCAAAAATTCAGCAGTATTGGTCGAGAATTGAAACACGCTTCAGAGCGCTATACAGCTATGACTGGACCTTCAATCGCAGACGAGAAATTATCCGTCGTGACCGCCATCGAAGCAATCTTGTCCTTTATTCTCGCTTTCGTCGCTGATAACCAGTGCAAGTCACTCGCGCGACAAGTCGGTGATTCCTCGTCGTGGGTGTCTATTCTCGCTTACTGGCGAGTCGTCCGGAAAAAGAGTATTTCATATCCAGTATTACATGGGCTCTCCCTACTTCTCGGGGCTGTCTCTTACGACGCTATACATGCATTGGATCTTGAACGCCTTGCCGTCAGCTCATTTCCAGGAGAACACACCCCGGCCCCTACACCTGGCGCTGGCGGCGGCGATAGTAGTCATCACCCTACCCCGGCTCCGTCAGACGACTACAAAAAGGCATGGGAAAAAATCTCCGAACTGAGAAATCGTCTTCCGGAGTGTTATCGGGAATCCCAAAGGTTATGGCTGGAAGGATCCAGAGGTCTCTCTGAAGATGTTCTTAGCCAAGATTTTCCCAATACCTGGTCACGGCGCTCTCATAACTTTGCTGAACGAGGCAGGATACCTCTACGAGCTGGTGAATATGCCGGTGACTATTTCCTTCCTCTTGGGGGAACTACTCAGCCCATTGAGATTGTGCGGTTTAGTTGGTCGATTCTTCGTGAGTGGTGTGAGCATGAGGGTATTGATTGGAATGAACGACTCGTTCTTTGAATTTTGGATCAAGATCAATCAATCAACCAACGCCAACGTTTTGATTTTGACATCCTCAGCCCATCCTACCCCACCCTATCTCACAACAATGGCGTTTTCTCCCCCCGATTTTCTACTCTACTCTCTTGCCGATTTGCCTTCACTGAGGGAGGCAGGGGCAATTGGTAATACGGCGTTCCAGATTTTTCTAGTTGAGTTTTGCTCGTTTTTTTTTTGTCTCTATGATACCACAAGCGCTGGAATTTCATTTCAATTCATCGGGTGTACTTATTATTAAGATATTTAAGATGACACGATTAATATGAAATATCGATGTCTAAACAATTAAATTGGATTGCTTCCATGCCTAGCATAGTTTAGTGAAGGATGATGATCATGATATCAAACGCTATCACCACAAGCTCTGGCGCTGCGGCTGCTGCTAAGGACCAAACGCCCCAGTTTAATCCGCTCCGACCAATACACCAACAAGCAAAAGGGGGGGATACGAGGGCAAAAAAAAAGAATCAGTGAAACAAACACAGAAATGGCTCAAGTCATTAGAAAGGAACAAGAATAAATGAAAAATCGCTCAGTAACAGGGATGAGATGATGAGATAGACCCAGACCCAGACCCGGTTTGAATAGACCAGACTAGACTAGACTTCTTGGTAATCATACTCAGGTCGAACGCCATGGTCATGATCACTAAAAAGCCAACCCGCCTCACGACAGTAACGGGCTTCTCGACCATATATGCCAACTTCACTCGCCCAGCAGATAACCGAAGCATCGACAATGTCAGCAATGACACTTTCGATCGAGCCGAGGATACTCCAGCCGATTGTTCCGGCGATTAGGCCCACCACATAGGCGTATAAACTGCCCCGTATCGTTCCGGCCGTGCTGGAGCTGGACATCGTCAAGTTTCGAGCTGTTGTGACCCAGCCGCCGAAGCCGAGGGCTAAAGACATCATGAAACGGGTTGCGTGCAGAATCAATTTGGAAAGCCGATATGAGAGTAACGATGTAGAGCCAGAGCCAGGGCGGGGTGAGGGGGAATAGGAGCTTGGATGCAAAGATGTCGTTGCGGCTGATGGAGCTAGTATCGTCATTTGGCTTAGTCCGCGCGAGGACGGGGCTAAGGGCTGGGAATGAATTGCCGCATATGTGAGGGAAAGGGGGTTGGTCAGGTAAGTTATTGGTGTTGGGATGAGTGAGTAGGCGAAAAGGCCCAGAAGTGAGGAGAGACGGCTGGGCAGCAAAAGTAGGGGCAGTCGAACTAACAGTCCGAGCAAGCGAGATAAACAGATGGTACCGAATAAAGTCGTGGTCGCATGCGTGACCGCCGCCTGAACAATCTCTCTCGAAGAAGGCGCTGGCTTCGCCAGACGGTGGAAGTACCATTGGCTCACGGTTGCTGCTGTGACGGAGCGCTGAATACCTGCAATAACCCCAATCGACCAAAGATAGAATATGACGAAATAGACACCCAGCCACCAGCTGCCCAGGTCGATTATGAAGGATTTGGGTCCGGCTAGATGGCCACCGAGGAACACTCGAGTGAACATGAGCATCCAGATCCAGGTCCAGCAAACCACACAAACTAGAACAGCCAGCCCTAGCGCAAGGAGCTCGGGGTTTGCAGCCAAAATTCGACATGAGAATTCGAGGATGCCGATTGCTTTGCCGATTGATCGGCGACCTCGGAGGACGTTGTAGGTCCATAGGCTAGCCATGAGAAATGGGACTAGAGATCCCCAGCGCATAATCTTGTCTTGGAGGCTTGTACCGTGCCATGAACCTTTGAAGCTCGAGATGAATGGGTACAAGGAGAAGGAAAAGAGAATGACAGGCACTGCGACGATGATTACGTGGACTAAGAGCCGCACGTAGGATCGAAGAAGGGCTAGCCAAACGAGTGATACGAAAATCGCAACAAGAGTATAGATACCAAGAAGGAAGAAAGACTTGTGTAAGGTCAAGTAAATAGTATCACCCCATTTGGATTTGTCTCCTAGTGGAGTGGATGTGTGCAAGTAGACGAGAAAGGCGGTGGCAAACACACTGGCCATGGCAATCAGAAATAATTGACCCCAAAAGGGGTCATGTAATGAAGCTTCTGACGCAAGAGGTGAGCTTGGCCCGGGAGAGGAGCCCGTCGAGCTCGAGCTCGGTGGCCTCGAACCATCCGATGGGAGAGCCTTTAGGTGCGCGGGCGGTGATTGCGATACAGCTGTAGTCGCAGTGTAATCAAACGGGCTCTCGATCAATGATGGCTGCTCTCGGAACCTCTGGATTGGAGGGTCGCCGCCAGCGATGACTTCGGATGGAGACTGATCACCACTTCCGCCATGTCGAAATGAATCCTCCAGCCCAACATCAACCAGGTTTCCTCTGGCTTTACTGCTAGACCCTGGGCTATTCTCTATCCTCTCTGGTACGGTTTCGATTCGAGAATGGTGAGTACCGGGTATTCCTTTCTCGCCACGCCATGAGCTCTTGATTCCTTTCCCATTGCCTGGCCGGTTGTCATAGGAAGGGTTGCCGCCGGCCGCATCCAACTCGACCGAATTTGTCGAATCTTCGTCGGTCTGCGAGGAATCCTTTAGGTTGCTATCGCCAAAATGTCGTCTTGATCGTTGCAAGGCATAAAAGTCGGCGATTTCTCGCTCGCGCTCGGTCTCGTCGTCTTCCTCCCGGAATTCATCAGTAGCGCTGTAGAACAGAGGAGCCGGTTGGGCAGAAGCGCGGGAGGTAAACGGGAAGTTCGAAAGTTGAGACGCTCCAGGTCGGTATGGGTCGCCTGTCCTCAAAAAAGGAGCGAGAGGAAGGATTTCGAGAGTGACTTTGGCGTTGAGTTGGGTAGGCTCGCCCGGTTCTTTGGAGGTCGTCCGGGCGAGATGCTACTCTCGACTGTGACTGCGCAAGAAAGCGTGACGCATCTGAAGATAGTGGTAGTTAGCCAAAGGCCAGTATACAGTGACAGTTGGAGATATACATACATTCTGAGAACATGGCCCACTAGTGAGAGATCGAGTGGAGATAGAGATGGAGAGAGTGTGTGAGAGAGATAAGAGGGGAAAGCTATACGAGCTGTTGAGATGCACTAGGCATAGGAAGGGAAGTAGAAAGCTCAAGATGAGTCTACTTCACCAGCAGTAGACAAGATGGTGTAGTCAAGACCGATCAACCGATCAAAGGTCATTCATTCAGGTGATGCAAGAGCAAGTACACCTCCAAGCGTCATCTCGTCATTCCGTCTAATCGGCTGATCCGCCTAGGTCAGGCCCCGATAGATGACTAATCACAATAGCTCTTCTACGCTAGTACTGGTTACAACTCCTCTTCTCTCTCTCACCACAATATCACTTTTGTATCAACACTTCTGTATCCCGTTCAAGGACATTCTCTTTCGATTTTATCATCCCTTACCTGCCGTATGATCGGATGATCACTGCAGACCCTTAGTCTGTCGCTACACCCGACAGCTACACTACCCCATCTCCAGTTCGGAACTAGACACTCTCCATGTCACAGCCATGGGACTATATCGCTAAGCTTGTCTGCATCGGTGACTCTGGCACCGGCAAATCTAGCGTATGTCTTTTGTTTCTCTTTCATAGCAGACTTACTTTGCTCCCTGTTCCCCCGGCGCTAAGCTAACTGCTAACCTCGGGTCTGTCTATCTAGCTCACCATCCGCCTTTGCGAGGGCCGCTTCTCCCCATCACACGATGTCACAATAGGCGTCGAATTCGGCTCGCGAATCGTTCCTGTCGGCCCACCCGCCTCACTAGAATTAGGCATCGATGAACTCGCCTCCGATCCAAACAACCCCAATCCTCCAAGCGATGACGAAACTACCAACTCCAACACTGGCCTCCCCAGTCCACCGCGCAAACCGCAAACCCCACCCATCCAGAAGCGCATGAAACTTTCCTTATGGGATACTGCCGGCCAGGAAACATACAAGTCCATCACGCGCTCCTATTTCCGCGGCGCATCGGGCGCACTGCTCGTCTTTGACATATCCAGGCGTTCAACGTTTATATCATGTACGCAGTGGTTGCAGGATTTGCGTCAGATTGCGGAAGAAGGTATTGTGGTTATTCTCGTGGGCAATAAAATGGATTTGGCTGCGCAGCAAAGTTCCGGATCAACGGCAAATCAGAGACAGGTCACTCAGCATGAAGCTGAGGAATGGTGCAAATTGAATAACGTAACACGCTACGTGGAAACGAGTGCGAAGTCAGGCGATGGCGTGGAGCGGGCTTTCTTGGAAGTTGCTGAGCGGATTTATCGCAATATTGAAGTGGGCAAATATGATCTTAATGATCGGCGGAGTGGCGTTAAGGGTTTTGGTGCGTCGGGTGGTAAAAATACAGGCGTGCCACGGACGGTTACCTTGGGTATGGATGATGCGATGCGTAAAGGTAATGGCTGGAGTGGAGGTTGTTGCTAGATGCGCATTACTTTTCTGTGAAAGCGATGCGAATGTGAAAAAAAAAAATCACTGGATATAGTTCGCCGGTGGGACAACCTAGGTCTATAAATACTCCTAACAAGCATCAGGTTATGCTAGTGTTAAATTGGATCGGATCCTGGAGCGACAGAACAGGATTCTCCTATCACAATTAGCTAATGTAATTAATTTTGAGAACTTGACTTCATTCTACATCACAACCTCATTCAGAATAAGCCAGAATAAATGTTAATGTTAATCTTGGACAAAATCTGGACACCTATTACATTCAATATGCTGCATGCTAAGATGCAGATGCAAACCAACCCCGAAGTTTACAAATCAAGAAACCTCCTCCGGGTTAATATTCATCTTGCCTGGCTCAGTTCGAAATTTTCCAGCCTGGGAGCCAACGCAAGTGGGCCCACTGTGAGTTAGAGCCCTCCATTCCGAAAACAATCGCGCGGAAGTGGACAAAGAGACCAACAATGGCGACATAGAGAACAGTATACACGATAGCGGCGATCTTGACATTCATCCGTCGGGTAACCCAATCAACGCAGAATCCGAAGCAGATAATCGCATAGTAGAGTGCCGGATAATAGTGGTGAACGTAGGTCACTCGGGCCATGATGATAAATGGCAGGTAGTGTAGCACCCAGCCAATGGCAGGGTATAAACCGGAGTAGTGGATGAGGTCGATGTCGGCTTGGCTCAGATCCTGGTAACCTCTCTGCCATCGCAGAAGATACCAAATGAACAGCAAGCCGAACCCAACAATACCGGCGGAACTTCCCCAGTAGACGAGGGGGGTTACCGAGAAGATAGTATTTCACAACACTGTCGTCCCAGGAGCACATTCGGAGGCCGACGTTCAGAATTGGCCATTGCCAGAATTTGGAGGCGAGATCGTCTTGCTTGTCGGGGTCGGGGACTAGGGCGTTGTTCGATGTCATCATTGCGACGTTTAGGTGAATGAAGTCCTTGAGGAAAGGTGACTTGTAAGAACCGGGGTCACCGGGGGGTACTGTTAATCAATAATTAGCAAATTTCATTCAGTGCCATCTTGGATCTCTTGAAAATCAAAGGCATGACTTACAACGCTCGTTGGTGTGTGACTCCACATTCCAGTGGGTGTAGACATCACCAGGCTTGTTCTCTTTGACGCAAGTTGTTTCGATTTGCTTGAAGCCCCATTGAGGCAGGTTCACATTGCCAGCGCGTAGATAACAGCCCAGCGCAGGATGACGAAGGCGGAAAGCAGTAGTGAGTGTGCGGATCTTAGAGCGGTCCCTAGACGCGACATCATCCACCACTTCAACCTGCCAGTGGTCCTTGTCATCTCCAATGGTGGTGTTTCCATAGCAAGAAACTTCGTGGTGAGACTTCGAAACAGGCGCGGGGATTGCGTGGGAGTGCAGATTCCGGCCAGTCTGTCCATGGATGAGGCGGATCAGGTCTCCATCGCCAATGAACTTCAGATCAGCGGTAGCGTCGTACTCCGCTTCGTTCCGGTTCGGGTAGATAAACCAGTCGTTGTTGGAATCTTTATGGTGATAGCAGGTGACCTGTTGTTGGTTGGAGCCCTCCGGGTAGGTCTGGACGTGTGAATGCAGAAGACCACCACCGTATCCCATGTTCTTGAGGGTAACTCGAGAACCGTGTGCGATTTCCAGAGGACTATCTCGGCCAACTTCGGTGCCGCGGAGATTTGCCTGGAACAAGGAACTCATTTGAGCATCGCCGGGGCCGCTGTTGGAGAGAACGAGGAAGTGGAGGTAGAAAGAGAACATGTAGACAAGGAGTGGAATGACGATTAAGCCTCCCACCCGAGCAACAAGATGCTTTGCGAGCACAGTCTAAAAATAGAGCGATTAGAGATGGTCTTGTTTGGTGAGCCGAGGCTCGACTGGAACGCGAAATATACTCACTTGGGGGATCTTCAAATCACCAAATTTATTCCACAAATCCTCGATCGTGTAGAGACCAACAATCGCAGTGCAAAAGAAGCCAACCCACTTCACGCTACAAACGCAGCCGATACTCAGGCCCGTCAGGCATAGCCACGCATACCACTCAAGAGAGAAACTCGAGCGTTGCAGGCGATGGAATTTCGCCCAGCACATCGTGGTTGTAAAAGTAAAGCAGAGCAGCATCGAGTCCAGGAGGATGAAGCGGGAGATGGTCGCATATGAGTTCTCGAACAGGACCATGAGGGCGATCAGCCAAACGGTGGCGCGACGGAAATTCAACTCGCGAGCGGTATAGTAGGCCAAGGGAACACAGACGATGCCGAATGCAGCATTGAAGGCTCGCATAAAAGTAAAGTTGACATCTTCGGGGTATTTCTCGCCGGATTTGAATTCGAAGGATCCGTTATATCCAGCCAGGTAGCCTGAAAGGCCAACTAGCATCTTTCCGAGGGGTGGGTGGACATCGAAGTAGAATTCGCGCTTTAAGTAATGGGAGCCGAATTTTCCGAAACTAAGAACAATAACAGTCAGAAAGCGGGTTCCGGTTCGATTGCAATGGCAATGATGAATGTGGTCTTACTGAGCTTCATCCCAGGTGACAATGTTGGAGCGACCGATGCGGTAGAGTCGGGTGAAGAGCGCAAGAGCCGTTAGGACAATCGGGGCAATGATCGGTTCCCAGCGGGCCAGGACATGCAAGAATGATGGCGACTGGCCAGCCTTGCTCTTCTTCGCGTCTATCTCCGGCACGTTTAGAACACGGGTCTGGGGGTTTCCAGCTCCTGCGACATTCCGGAAACGTAGGTCGGCATTATTCTGAGCTCCCGTACTGGTAGCAGTATCCATTGCTGCCATGTTGTGTTAGGCTCAGGCCTAGTTTGGATATATCGATGGTAATGGTAGGGTAGGGAAGGGGGGGTCGAGAGGGACCGAGTGGTTCGAAATGAGCGACAGGAAAGGCTTCAAAAAACCATAGTGGCCGGAGAGGCCACGTAGAAAGAGAAGAGGTGGAAAAGTGTCACTAGATAGAATAGTAACCAAGAAAATAAAAGACAAAGGGGAAGGAAGAAGGAAAGGGGAGAGAGTAAGAAAGATGGAAAAGGTGGAAGCTCTGAGGTGGCCAGATCGATAAACACGAGAAGGAACGGGGCCGTTTCCGCTTTAGCCCCATCGAGGGGGGGGCCGTTTTCAGCAGAACGTGTACCCGTGCATACATGTGTGCTATAGTTAGGTGTTAATGCCGGTGAAATTAGGTGTCTACAGTACTTACTATTAACTACAAAGTATACTTACAAGATTAATTATCGTGATATATGTAGATGAGTATCTGGATTAATATGAAACAATACACTTCTACTCCGTGCTACCCACATACATGTGTGTACAGTGGCGTTGCAAAGGTTTGAAACCCCATATTGCCTACCATTATCAACCGCCTTCTAATGGCAGACTAGTAGCTACTAAGATGGAATGGATTAGCCAATCTATTCCATCTTAGATAGCTACTTATTCACGATTAGAAGGCGGAGACGAGAGCAAGTCAACAAGGGGTTTCAAACTTTTGCAACACCACTGTACTATACGTTAACTAACGTGGTTGGTAAGCGAGCTGCGCATGCAAGCGAGCTGCGCAGCCGCCCACTTTTTCGCGTCCTCCCGCGTTCATCTATCTTCTATCAAGCACCATGCCTCCAACTCGCGTCCATTCAAGCCAAGACTCTATCGAGAGAGAGGGCCGTATATTACTTGCTATACAGGCTATTCAAAGGGAAGAAATTATATCTATACGCGAAACAGCACGTCGCTTTAATGTACCCGAATCTATACTATGTATACGACTCTACGGTACTACAAATCGCGCTGAAACTCGTGCAAACTGTTATAAATTGATACAGATTGAAGAGGAACTTCTTCAGTAACAGATATTATTACTAGATCGACGTAGAGCTGCCTCTATATAAGCTTACGTACGAGAAATAGCTAATTTGCTTCTTGCGAAGTACGGTTCTACCCCTATTTAAACTGTTGGCAAAAAATAGGTATATAACTTTATATAATATTATCTAGAGCTTAAATTTCGCTATTTATGATGATATAACTATCAGCGAGTACTATAAGAAGATCTAAAGATTATCTAGGAGTGGTTCGATCTTGTTTAAACTATAATTTAGTAATACGGTATCCTTACAGACGATATCTATAACTTTAATAAGACTAGTTTTATAATAGGCCTCTGTATAACTCAGAAAGTAATTACTTAATCAGAATACTACAGTCGGAGATTAGTTTTATAGCCAGAAAATTATAAGTAGATAACCATAATTAAGTTAATCAGTGCTTTAGGATAGGCTCTTCTACTAATACTTATCTTTAAGGGTAAGTAATATAACTAAGTGTAGTTTAAAGAGCTTCTGTACGACTAGTACTTTAAAGTTAGTATAAATAAATAGATATCTAACGAAATAGGTCTTTGCTGGCTTTAAAAGTAATTTATTCTATCAACAAATTATCGTATATACGGGCGATATTAACTCTTAATTCTCGATAGATACAGAAGTTATCTTATACCAGAATTTAACTAAATCTATATAGATTATAATATTATACTGATTTATATACCTATATATTCTTTATATCTTTTATAACCACTTAATATTGGATGTTTTGCTGTTTTAAAATATACGTACTGTCACAGGATTCGAAGTATACAATACCCCGGACTTTCGAGGCCGATTCATGGACGAATCCCCTTTGAGTCACCTGCATATCGATATCCACCCGAACCCTAATGTATTTAAGATCCCACAAGTATTCTGGATTCTTAATCTTCTCAAGAATCAGTCTCTGTATCGACTGCCTAATCTGATCTCTACCGTCCGATATCCTTGCCTAGTCACAGGTCTCTAGCCTGACAACTTAGTAACCATTACACGTACGGTAATTTAGTCGGCCAGAAAATACAACTTAGGATTAGCTATATCAATAAACTTAATTTCCTTATAGCTTATCTATAAGCTTGTATTAATACATTTAAGTCAGATACTATTCAAAATAGCTTTTGAGCAGCTAGAATAGTACTTTTTAATCCTAAATCAGTACTATCAGAGCTTAATATTTAACTTCAGATATCTATACCACCCCTAAGCTACAGTAGTTAAGTAAGTATATTTTACCTATATATACCTATAAACGTTAATAAGCTTTATAAATAAGTATCCTTAATTAAAGCTTTCCTAAACCAACGCTCAAAAAGTCCTCTATTACCTTTCTAGGCTATACTAAACTAGCTTATTAAAGGCTATCAAATCACGATACAAAACGGTATCTTACTTGAGGCAGAGAATAAGCAGCTATATAATAAAAATACTGTACAAAAGAAAAAGTATGCTCGTACGATTAGATAGATAGCCTACGAGGATGGTCTATCTGTTTAAGAAGCACTAGAGCTCGAGGAAGCTTATAATACGTTCTTTCGGGCAATACCAGGTCCACGCGTACCACCAGCGCAGGGTACGCAAGAACTAAAGAAACGGGCCCTACCTAAATGTGGCAATTGCAGTGAAATAGGGCATAAGAAGAATTCTTGTCCAAATAGATAATAATGAATATAAAGGCGTTTTGGTTGATATATACATATAAATAGGTAGAAGAAGTGGGCGGCTGCGCAGCTCGCTTGCATGCGCAGCTCGCTTACCAACCACGTTAGGTATTGGTGCCTGTGGGATTAGGTGTCAACCGTGCTTACTGTTAACTTACGGAGTTTACTTATTGACTGAAGGAAGCTTATCAGTTAGTTGAGTCTACAGCCATCTAGGGTTGGGTGGTCCAGGCCAAGGGGAAGCCATTTGCATAAGGTTGGATCGCGTTGAACAAGGCTTCGCAGTGGAGGAAGTTATTATGATAGCGTATGGGGATATTTACGAACTTCCGTCGAGAACTGAATTGCATGCTTCAAAACAAGAGAAGAAATAAGAGAGGGAAAAGATCATATGTTTAAATTCAAATTAAGTTTCTTCCTGTTCAAATGACTGTTGTGTATGACACATGCTAACACATCTCTACTGAAACTATTTTTCGATTATCGACAGGAGACTTTGTATTACGCAGTCAACACATGAATGAAACGATTTTGTTTTGTATCGCTTACTGCGAAATTTAGTAGCCCGTTAATTCTTTCTATTGCTTCGTGATTCGTAAATTACATTGAGCGATTGAAGAGCCATTTTCATAGGAGTTACTGCAGCGCCTATATTTCTCATCATATATTTAACTTGATTTTGTATAGGTCAGTGTGTCAATCGAAAAACAATCAAGATGAAGAAAGCAAAAAAAGAAGATTGATTTATGTCCTGGCTGATGATTTGAGCAAACTCGCTTGGCTAAAGCAACGTACCCAAAGAGACTCCAATATTGTTATACGGTCATTTTCCAAATTGGCTTGTCCTTATGCTTCGCTAGTCCCTCTACCAAGCCACGGTCCACCGCTCCTCCTTATACCTTACAATATATCCCGTTGAATGACAACTGGAAGCTCCAGGGCTGTTGATCGTGTCATTGACTACCTGTACTAGACAAACATACCTTCAAAGTAGTATCATAACCATGGTCTTCCTCTTTAGCGATAGTCTTAGTATACGAATGCCTAAGAACCAAGGGGATTCTCTGAGTCTCAGACCTTCAAAGAGTTGCTGATCTTGTGGCACACACAGTCTCTTGGCAGCGGAAGATAGACTGATCATCGTAATGTCGTTGACATAAATAAAAACAATCACACCCTCTTTGACAGAATAGGCAGGGGAGTCGAAAGACTACTACGAGGATCAGCAACGCCTGGAAGATCTGAACTCTCGGATAAGCCGCCTATTTCTTAAGCATTCGTATACTGAGAGTATGGTTAAAGAGAAAGACCGCGATTACAAACTGCCTTGAAGCTATGGCATGACCAGATGCTATTACTAGTACTTGTAGGACGCAGGCACGCACGATTCGATGAAAATTAGTAAGTGGCCTAGGGATATCGTCTGGTCAATGCCATAGCTTCAAGGCAGTATCATAATCGCGGTCTTCCTAGTCGTAGTGGGATTTATCAGTTGGCGCCCTGTTATAGGAATCTTCAAGTTGTACGTTAAGCTTAAGCATACTATCTTGATGACAATTTCATATACCATGTACCGACAAATGTTTGCTGAGGATGCTACCTAGAGGCATTCTTACGAGCCGTCTCGCCCTTGGGTCTTTTCAATGCCAGCCGAAATCGATCCACGCGCGAAATTTGCTCCAAGACCACGGTTTGAACCCGCAGAACAGTTTCACGGCAAAGCGTCTGGGTCTTCCAATCGTAAGAACAGAGAAGTGCCCGCTCCATTCCACCCTCACTGCCACATAGCAACATCGCTACGGGTGGACGGACTGCACGAAATAGGGTGACAGTCATAGTATTCGTGTCAACCAAAGTAAAAAGCTTGAGGTCCCCAAACTTGGACTTTCCAGCGGCCGAGACAAACTCCTTGATGGTGGGATTTTCGATTGTCGGGTCCTTTCCTTCACATTCATGAAACTGATTTTCGTCGTGTATCGAGAGGTCACTTGAAAACGGACTCCATCTCAATCGGCCAAGATCGATGCCAAAGATCAGTCTTTCAATATCAGTAATCTTCATGTAGCCCTCAAATCCGAATATCCATGGCTGTGCTGCCCAATTCTTGCCAGAATAGAGAGAGTAGAGAAGATATGGGGACGCTAGCATGACAATGAGATATATGCCCATAATGACCAATCCAGCTATCCACAGGGGCTCTATGTGTCGTCCATTAGCCCGACTCCCTGCAAGTAAAGATATCCCAGAAACAAGCCACACAGGAGAGCTGCGGAAACATAACCTAGCTACCTGCCGCTTCAAAGTGTTGCGCATCAAAATATTGACAGGCTCAAATGATTTCCAATGAATCGGGGCCCCCATGGCACCACTCAAAATTATTGTGTCATCTCCTCCCAAGCCAACGACCTGGCAGTGAGGCCTAATATCCCAGAGGTTACTATCCCAGGTGTCGTCAATTTCATGCCAAGGCCGCTCGATGTCTTTCTCCTTATTCTGCTTGGGGAACATGCATATAAGTCGTTCAATCAACTGATCACTGTCATTGGCCAAGGAAAGCCGACAGAAGGCCTCGAAAGATGAGTCTTCCTTACTAATATCTGGGCGTCGTCGCAACAAACCCATCAAGGCATATGAGAGATCGCCCTTGCAGTATGTTGTGGTCATACGATTTGGAAAGCATTGCAAGGCAAGAGAAACCAGCTCTAGGGGACTTAATATGATCGTTCCCTCGTAGTGATCAACAAGTTGTCTCGATGTAAGGGTGTCACCCCAAGCCTCATTCGTAAAGTCACGCTTAGAGAGATTTCGCATAGTACCGGTGTGCCGCGCATAGAGAGTGATGGGTTGATTTGTAGGACTTAGGAGGACTTCCGGGAATGTCCACATTCTCTCTCCTAGCTGGCGGAGCATTTCTCTCTCATTTAGGCTTGGCTCGGAAGATGGCTCTCGAGAAGGCCCGATAGCAACGACGAGAGAGTGAGCACCCCGGACAATATCACTAATTCGGTAAACGTCTTTGGAATATCTGTCGTCGGAAGGTGAATTTCCCTCTTCGGATTCCATGCAGCTACCTGCGAGCCAGTATGCAGCAACTCCAGCCTTTCGCGCAGCATCCTCGCCAATATGATGTAGCTCACCTATGTCTTCATCGGCCATGCGATTGTGTTCATTCATCTCCTCTATGGAAATGCCATTTTCCTCATCGTATTTCTGGGTCATTCGATGCTTGAACTGCTTTGTGCTGTAGCATATGAAAATATAGTCCAAGGTCTCATGGTTCGACTCCCATTTTTCGACATCCACAGGGTTTGGCACCCCTTCAAATTTGTCCTGACGCAAGACAAGCCGCCTTGGGCGAAGAAGTCGCTGTGATATCCCGTGCTCTTTTTGACCTGGGACTGACTGGTTGTTGGCCCTCAGTCTCAATGGAACTTCGTGGAGATTGGTTGGAACCGTGGCGTACCCCCAATAGTGATATTTGAACTGCTCGTAGCGCCCATTGTTTCTTCTTTCACCCCCGAGATCTGCAGGTATAAATAACTAGATGCTTTTAATTATTTGATCAGGACGAGGCTCAAATGCTCGCTCACCAGAAGAGAAATGGCCAAACAAGACGGAATCCATGCTAAGCCAGCCCCCACAATCGACATAGCCGAGCCATTTCGAAGTTGAGGGCCCAGGAGTGAGTAGACAATTTGAAGTATACCCGGTGTACACTCCACTAGGTCTGTTCGCACCCAGGTAGAGTTGGCAGGCCCGTCAAATGTATCTTTGGTCGCTTGTACAACCAGTGGTGCGAGTCGCCCATCCGTCGCGCTAAGGTATCGATCGTCTTCAGGACCTGTCCACACCCGCCCAAGGCTGTCTTTGTGCCGGAACTTATTCGTGGACGTGTAATTGTATCCTGGTTCACTGATATCCTGGGGTTTCGTTGTCCAGGACTCGGAGCCGAAGTATACCTTAAAATAAGTTGGGCACTCCGCCAGCGTTAGTGATGGCGCAGTTGGACGATGTTGTAGCGGGTCTCACTTTCTCAACATCAACTTGACATTGATGATTGGTAGGGGGGTTCTCGGGTCTAATTTTTTTGATTGTTATTCTCCCCTTGTGTTCGCCCAAGTCACAGGATAAGGCAAGCATACCAGAGGGTATATGTCGTTCTCATTGCGGCTCATACTGGGACGGCTGTGAATTGGCATAAGTTCGTAATTTGAACCCATCATTTGACGCTAGCTCTGGGGGGCAAAGAGAGCGAATATTGATTCTCTTGATCCTGGCTGCTGAAATAACCAGGGCGAGCTCGAGGAAACAACACAGCCCCCAAATTTACCATGTTACGTACAGTTGGTATTTTCATGAAATTACGGTATGGACCCTGGATACATCGAAAATTTCCCTGGGGTCAGAGGGGCGCAAGTGAAGGTCTGTCTTGGCGGCTTCACGTCTAGCCGATGCTACTAAAGGCCCCCGCGGCCCCAGCGGCCCTGGTGCGACAAACAGTTTCACCTCTCACTAGATAGTTGCTTTCATCTGAGTTTGTGACCGCAGAAAAGCTCCCGAACTCTGCAGCCGACGAGATGGCCTTTTACCGCGACCAGGTGCTCTTAGACGAATATAGTAAAATGAGTACCGGGAAGAATGAGCCCTCTGGTGATTTCACATTAGATACCCAGGATTGGGTCCAGGACTCTGACGGTAAGCCGAGCTAGTTATGAACTTCGGCTCGGAGTATGTGGCATTATGAGTTATGACCGAGCTTACTAGATGTTTAGGCAAATACAATTTCATTTCGCGCAAGCTCACATTGCCCCTATTGGAACAGCCACAGACTCCAAGCTTGCGGATTATGTTCGTTTTCTTACATTTCGACGAAGTGGACCTCGAGTAATGTGAAAATGTTTCAGCTTTGCACCTCTTGACAATCAAAGCGGAGGTTTCAGAAAAAGCTTTCTGAAGCTTTACAATCATTACAACGTTCCGTCTGCATTCATTGCGGGGAGAATGCGGTCGGTAACACACTCATTCGGAGCTCTAGACAATATCAACGGTTACAACTGTACGCAAAGCCCGAATTTCACTTTCTCGGGTACTTTTAGAATTGACACATCTCATGCTCCACCGAAGGCGCCTGGTTTCACTATCTATGCAAGAATGTCAACGTTACTGGCAGCTCCCAGAAGCCGGCGATAGCAGAGCCCAACTTGAAAGAGGGTATACCGGTTCTAGATCAGAGTGACAGCTCATGGATTAGATCAGGTTACTTCCTTCGATGGGCAGTGGACTCGGCGACTAACCCTGAAATTACTTTAATATGCTTCGATTCATCATTCTATCTCAAAGAGCGCTTCCAGCAAGTCCCACCGTCGGCAATCCCAATGACGGCCATTCCTGACCCATACAGTCTCTTTGTCATTATTCTTGAGGAGCTATCTCTGCAGATGGATAACGTTGTTTGGAATGTTATGAGCGTCTTTAGAGGCGTTGAGCTGGTAAATCTGGCTCCAACTGTATCCACGCGATTGAGACTGACCCTCCCAGAATACTTTGATGATTGCAAAAAGGAGTGACTCTTCGACTGATATGGAGTCACTCACTGGGATACATAATGTCTCTAAGCAGCTGATATTCCTCCAGGAGAGTTCTGAAGCTGCAATGTACACCTTGAAGAGTATGATGTCGCATCATCATCGTAATTTTGCGATATCCCCCGCCAAGAGCCACCATGCATCAAAATTGGTGCATGCAATGCTGGAGCATATCGAGACACAATTCCAGTGCATTGATCTTCGGTTGAAGGGCCTTGAGAAACGGATGGAGAACATACTGACACTTGTGAGAGCCTTGAGCACTTCCTCTAAAGAAATGCTCACCTCGCTAATCATTTATGGCTGAAGTCTTTCCATCTTGTGACACAGGACAATAACCGCATAATGCAGAGGGATAGCAGCTCAATGGCAAGTATCGCATTGGTAACCCTTGTTTTCTTGCCGATGTCAACAGTATCCGTAGGTCATGACTACACTTTCAAGAAAGAACATAATTGCTAACTTTCGAAGACCGTGTTTGGAAGTCAATTTTTCAACTTTGATCATTCTCTGATTAAGATATCACAAAGCTTTTGGATATTCTGGCTGGTATCAATTCCACTGACCATATTGGTGATGATTCTCTGGCATCTTTCCGTCTATGAATTGCCATTTGCCAGGATCTTTAGGCGGTTCAGTAACAGGAAATTGTAAAATTGAATCGTGATATGCTTGGTTCATGTTCCTATCAATTTGAAAAACTGGAGTTGCAAGGGCAGCTTAGAAGCCTGTATTCATGAGACAGAAAAAAAGAATACCAATCATCGTCGTGGTTCCGCATGCAAATCCCAATTCCTAGTGAGAATGTACTAATTATATGTATATCCAACGATTCATGTGTTCCCACAATAGAAATCAGAAGCAGAACCTCGCGCCCTCATTCATGAGCCAGAGCAAGCATGGGTGACCCCTCCTCCCCCGTAGCTGAGGCATTCCCGAGTTCCTTCTTATATATCTTGTGCCACTGCATACAACAGTGCATGGTCCCAATGTAGAGGCCGATAGTACAGATAGCAGTGATAAGAGGTCGAAGACTTGAAAAAGTTTCAGGCACCCCGAAATTATCATAACCAATCGGGACAAACAAGTAGTCTTCTATCGCTGTTATGAAGCCGAACAAATTGAATAAAAAGTAAAAACTCGTCCCGCAGAGAAGAGAGGTAGTGCTTTTCTATCTTCAATTAGAAATTTGTTTTGAGACAGGCGATTCCAAGGAGTAGCTTACCCTAGAGAGAGGTGGCAGGTCTTTTTTTGACCAAACAATGGCGCTTGTCTCAATCATAATCTCCAGTGCTGCGATAAAGAGGAGGACATGCGTTGCCAGTTGAAACCGATGACTGTGGGTATTCATCTCGTCGCGAGATTTCACCGCATCGAAATTGACAACACCGATGAGCCAGAAAATGATACCCAGAACATAGTTGATCACGAGCATGCATAATATCCATATTCTAGGCGTGGAAGGCAAGGGAGCGCCTGTACCATTTTCCAATTGCAGCGACTTGTATCCCTGGAGGAGATTATATAGTACATTTGGAATCAAGATGTACCAAATATTGCCAAAGAAGTTCAAGAATAAGGTCGCGATAACTTTTGCGGAACTTGCTTTTTCCTCCTCTCCCAGTGAGGAATTACTACCTGCGATATCCATCGCAAAGCGGATCCAAGCTTCTAGAATCACTGTAATTGATCTGGTACGATTATCAGTCACATCACTCTTTACCAAGGGAAAACACGTACACAATCCAACACAAAATAGAGACAAATAGGGATTTGAAAGCGATTGCGTCAGGTTTATACATCGGTCTTCTAGTCAAACATGAAGTGACGAGAAATATCAGTAATGAAGCATCACAAATCCCATACGAAATGACGGCAAGTCTCGCGGTTGTGTTATTAACGAGGTAGTGAATATACCAACCCATGTTGACTTGGGGGTTTTTGGGGTAGGTTTGGAATGCACTTCTATGGGAAAAAAGTGCCCTTTTAGAGTCTGTGCAAACCGCGATGGCTCTCAATATATGTTGATGGCATCCACTATTAGAAGCGGACCGAAAGGTCTATAGAACTTGAACACAGCCCGGTGGAATGCATCGACCGTTCGGCGAGGAGGAAAGAATATTTTTCATTGCCACCGTTGAATGCTGTGAGAGCCTCAAGTTTCCCGTATTTATCATGTACTTACTGTTCTGTACACATTAGTTGTATTTCATGATTCATGGAAACCCCTTAAACCTGCAGATACGAGGCGGATCGGCAGATCATGTGGAGCCGGTCCAATCAGCATGACACTGCTATACCACTGCCTTGCAGATTTAGGTAGCAAACAAGCCCTGCAGCCAGCCACATTTCACTGTTGGCTCCCAGTCTGCAGCATACAGCCTCACCAGGAGCCAAGCCCGGATGTAGTACCCGGCCAATGAAGTTGAAATTGTAGGAACTGGTCTTTTGTCGATCTTACATACTTCTTGACCCTCGAGTCCCAACTTCGGGTTTTATTGAGACTATGCTGCCGTATAACAATTCACTTGGAAATATCGACAAACCATCAAATATCGTGCTTCCTAAATGCAGTCAAGTCAGGTATGAAAGCCCCTTAAATAATGTCTTGCGAATATCCGTTCATGCCAAGCAGGATATCAAAAGCGAGCGTCCCGAGCGTGACTGCATCCCGTCTACAGAGCACAAGACCAAGTATCGAGCCAGCGAGTCTGGAATAGAGCCCCACGGGGGTGATTTCATACCACCAGTCACAAAATACAAGCCCAGATATGTCTCCAATACCTCTGGAAATGAGACACACGGTGGCGACTACATTCCCCAGCAAGAGAATACAAGCCTAGATATCAACCCAGTGGCCTGTCAAACGAGCATCATGGAGGTGACTCTAGTCCCCCAGTGAGGGACAATTTCAAGCCTAGATATTATTTTGCTGGTCAAAGTGGCACCAGTAGCTCGGGACAATCATCTAACAACTCAACCACTACAAAGTACGTCGAGAAGTGATACTTGATGTATGGCAATTTTGAGATAATATTGTTGTTATTGTCTGTTTGGAGAGACCTGCTTATTAGAGCGAATAATATTGGCTCTTCCTAAGATATTGCTATTCCACGACCAGGATAGGCCGCTAGTTGTCATTTCGTAATGGTTGTAAGGACTCGGGATAAAATAACTTTCATGTACTATTGTAAAAAGTAATAAAGCTAAAGAAAGGAAGAGAGGTAAGCTCTCACGCGTTGTTATTTTAGTACAGATAGAACGGACGGTTGTGGGTCACGTGATCGGGCACGTAATTCCGACAACATCGGTTCGTTATATTCCCCCCCCCCTCCGAAGAAGTCTGGTCTCCAGGCTTTTGTATACAACGATCGTTGCTTGTAGGTAGGTGGGCGGGGTTATCATCATTGTCATCGTCTTCTACAAATTCGTCGTCCTCGGCGGCTTTCAACCATGCAGGCCGATGGTCTGAATCAGCTTGCCACCAGTAATGCGGGTCGCGTTGACTACAGAGATCCGTTCCCGGGAAGTACGGAAAATAAGAGCTTCACATTTGCATCCAATCCTAATAGCCGCTCGTATATGGGTGATGATTCAAGAGTATCGATCACAAATATCTCCGCCGCGGCACCAACAACGACTATGGATATTGCTGTGTGATGACCCAGTTTCAGAAGAGATGATGAACTGGAGTTTTATTAGCGTCTGTTTCATTCAATAGGTAAAGTTGTGCTGAACTGGGAGTGAAGCCGAAGGCCGGGTTTGGTCCGATACTTGAGAGTCTCCTGTGATTGTTTGATGGAGCCCTTGACGGTGCACGGTACGATGAATTTATTTGTGATAATTTCTGCTAGTTCACTGCGGTTCGCAGTTGTTAACAAAAGTGTATTTCCAAGCTGGAACATTAGGAACAGAAATTATATACTTTATTTCACTGGAATACATTATCATTCAAGATGAAAGAGCATCCATAAAAGGTGCGTAACGGCATCGCTTCCTACGCCTCTTGCAACTTTTGGTCTCTATCCTCCTCCGCCATGATAGCATTGCTTTCTACGCCTCTTACTGTAATAGTTACTAAGTTATCAGGCTAGAGACCTGTGACTAGATAAGGATATCGGACGGTAGAGATCAGATTGGGTAGTCGATACAGAGATTGATTCTTGAGAAGATCAAGAATCCTGAATGCTTGTGGGATCTTAAATACATTAGGGTTAGGCATCGCCATAACCCATTTTGGGTTGGAGATGCCGACCCAAAACCTATTGCCAAGAACCCATTATTAGAGTTCAAGCATAAATATGCCAAGACCTTCCTAATTAGGCTACTTTATACTGATTTTATATAATTTTTATGCAAAATGGGTTTTGAATGGGTTATTGGGTTCTTGGCATGCCAAGAAATGGGTTGAAAAATAGGTTATGGCGATGCCTAATAATAATATTAGTAGAAAACCTTACTAAATTCTTTTTTAATTAAATTAAACTTAAATATAGAAATCTAGAAAAAATTATATTTAATTAAAGACTTATTTTTATAAATAGATTCTAATTATAACTCTATTATTATTCTAAGATTAAGCTATAATTTTCTACTATATTCTATCCCTAAACTAATAGATAGATAGAAAGGCTTAACTAGATTCTAAAAGATTATCTTAGATATTTTATTAATAAAGAATAATTAACTTAGGCTTAATTTCTTAAAATAGTATAGTTTATATATAATAATACTATTAATATATCTACTAATAAAATCTTTTTCTATATACTGCTAAAATATAATCCTAACTTCTAAATCTAAGCCCTAAAAAAAATATTTAAAAAAAAGCCCTAAATACTAAAGAATAGATAATTTATCTTTAAAATATTTATAAAAAAACTATAAAAAAGCTTTAAGTTATATAGAAAGTATAGTAGAAGTTATATAATAAAATATATAAGCTAAAAAACTTTAAAGTTAGTCTGAACATATAGCAATAGCCTATAGATCATGGAACCTCATGGAACCTGATCGATAGTGGCAAACTATCTGGATGCTGTGGCAACTCTGGCCATCTGCCACCTACATAATTGACTCTGCCACCTATATAATTGACTATGGTGCTAACTATGGCAACCTATATAATCAATTACCATTCGATGCTAATCATGATTAATATATTACGACGACTTATTGTCGTGTGACCATTATAATTACTAATAATGGTGGCCTGAGGCCTGCCAAACCTCAGGGATAAATAGCATCTCAATCTCCTGCAATCCAAAACATACACATCCATGCAATATATCAATCATCCTATCTATTACCAACCAACAGCCTCTTATTGGATCATCTGATCTACCTTCTACTTCCCTGAGCCTAGTAAGACGTACAGTCTTATAGTTAGAAGCCTTATATTTTTTTTTAATAAAAAATCTTTACTTTAAAGCTAAAGAAAAAAAGTTATTTTTTTAGTAAATTAGATTTTTCTATATTCTTATAAAGATTAGTATTTAGATATACTATATTATATTATTAGAAAAGTATTTAAGACTATATAATATTTTCTTTATTTTTTTTCTTAAGCTATAGAATAGCTAAAATAAAGATAATTTACTAATACTAATACTAAAACTTAAAAATAAAGAGAAATAGAAAATTAAAAAGATTTAAAGTAAATAAATCTTTAATAAAGTACTATACTACTATATAAAATAGACTAGATAGTCCTTAGAATATAACTAATAAAAATCTATAGAATATTTAGAAAATATAAAAAATATAATATCTTTATTTAGAAAAAAAATAAATTTAAAAAACTATTTTTTAATAATAATAAAATTTCTTTAAACTATGTCTAAATTAATACTAAAAAAAAAACTATTAGACTTCTGCTAAATAAGACTATTTAACTATAAAAGAGAAAGATAAGTAAAATAAAGAATAAAGACCACTATAGAAGTCTATATAAATCTAAAAATACTTTAATCTAGTTAATAATCTATACTATAGCTAAGGTTAAAATAATACTATTTAGAGTTATATTATACTTAAACCTTACTATAATATCTAAAAAGAAAAATTAAATAGTACTCTACTAAAGATTAAAACTAATATTACTAATCTATAGCTATAGAAGATTATTAGAATAATTAAGAAGCTAAGTAGAAGATAAGCTAGCCTTAGTATTTAACTTTTTTTATTATTTAATAATAAATATAGTATATCTCTCTATAGCTTAATCTATATTCTATATATTAAAGTAAAGCTTATACTAAGAGAAATAGATAAAGATTATCTTCTAAAATAATACTAAAAGATAAGTAGATTCTTTAATAGCTATAGTCTTACTTTTTATACTTTAGATAAGTATAGTACTATTAGTAATAATAATAATAGTACTATTATTCTAAACTTTATATACCTAGTTAAAGATTAACTAAAGCTAATATAAATTACTATAGATTCTATAGGGTATTCAAAATAAATTAGTATTAAATTAAATATAAATTAGAAGAATTTTATATCTAGAAGTAAGTCTTTCTATCTCTTTTATATAGAGTATAGATAATTAAGTTAGAATAATCCTAGTTATATTTAATTATAGAAATAATACTAATAGAAGAATAAAGGGCTACTTTAGCTATATACTTAATATAGAAGATAAATAAAGAATAGATAATCTAATTATAAAGAAAATAAAGACTAAGGATAGTATTACCTATATTTCTAGGGTTATTATTATTATTATCTCTATCCCTAGCTCTAATATAATCTTTATCTTTAGCTATATAATAACTACCCTAATAACTACTAAAAAAATAAATAATATCTATAGAAGAAGGACCACCAAATTTAGCAGTAGTAGGACTAACAGTAGTAAATATAGTAAAGGATTATAATTTAATAATAAAAGAAAGAGATAAGATAAGATAAAGATAAGAGAAAAGTAAGAGTTAAGGATAGGAAGATAGAAGCTTTTATCTTAAAGATATTAAAGAGATTATATTACTTTATTTATATCTATATATAAATATACCTAAAGCAGTACCTATCCTAGGCCTTTATATAAGATAATATTATTTAGCTCAGATTATCTAACCTAATTCTGACCTTTATTAATAGTTAAGTCAACTATCTCTAAGAGAGAAGGATAAATTATTATAGGATTCAAAGTATATAATACCCCAGACTCTCGAGGCTAATTTATAGACAAATCCCCTTTAAGTAACCTATATATCGATATCTACCTGAGCCCTAATATATTTAAAATCCTATAAATATTTAAGATTCTTAATCTTCTTAAGAATCAGTCTCTGTAACGACTGCCTAATCTTATCTCTACCGTCCAATATCCTTACCTAGTCACAGGTCTCTAGCCTGACAACTTAGTAACCATTACACTAACCATGATTAATATATTACGACGACTTATTGTCATATAACCATTATAATTACTAAAATTGGTGGCCTGAGGCCTGCGAAACCTCAGGGATAAATAGCATCTTAATCTCCTGCAATCCTAACAATATACACATCTATACAATACATTAATCATCCTATCTATTACCAACCAACAGCTTCTTATTGGATCCTCTGATCTACCATTACTTCTCTGAGCCTAGTAAGACGTACAGTCTTATAATAATTTATATTTAATAATAGTACTAAAGATCCTATTAAATAAAGATCTTTATTAAGATAATATAAAGCTATAAAAAGTCTTATTTAGTTCTCTAAGAATTATATATAGTAATTAGAATAGTCTATATACTATAGATAGAGATATCTTATTAGCCTACTATTTCTAAAAGAAAAGTATTATACTTAGCTTAATTAAAGTAATATTTCTAAATAAACTTATAATTATTAAGATATATCTCTATATAGATATTAATATTTATATATATTTTAATATTATTTTAGATATAAATTAGAATATAGAGATAGATAACTATTCCTACTTAAGGCTAGGAGTTAGAACTTATAAAAGTTAGTTTAACTTTAGTACTTTTTCTAAGCCTTTTAATTAAGTATTATTATAGTAATACTAGGGTCTTAAATAAGTTTACTAAATCTTTACTTCTAGAGCTTTTAGTAGTAGATAATATTTACTTATCTAATAGTCTAGCTTACTATAGTTAAAATAATTATTTAAAAAGATCTTAATAGATTAGTTAATCTTTCTAATAAATATATTATTTAGATTATTTATATTTTAAAAAAGAAATAGATAAGGATTATTACTAAAATAAAGAGAATTTAGATATAAGTTAGAGTTATTTTAATTTAGATTAGTTCTAAGACTATAAAAATTCTTTAAATATAGATTTCTAAGATTTTTTTTAATCTTATTCTTTATTATTAGACTAATTTAAAAATAAGTTATTAAATTATAGACATTTTAAGCTTAAATTAGAATTATTATTAAATAGATTATACCTATATACTTTTACTTTAATAAATTTCTAAATACTCTATATTTTTCCATCTATTATACTTAAGTTTTTAGAGAAATCTTTATATATTATTAAATATTGTAAGATGGGAATGCTCGCTGGCAGTCTGTCAAGCAGACAGGTCGATCACAAGAAGACAAAACCACTATACTCACAGAGTGCAGAAGAGTAGTAGACAGAGCGTAATACTATAGAGATACGACTAGTAAGACATTCGAG